AGCTCTGAGTATTCGTTTTTTGTTTCAAATATGGCACGCCTTGTGCGTATTGAATAAATGAATAAATAAATTTATCATTGGGGACCACCCCAATGACTGATGCCACGGTGGAGATACAGTGCATCCGGAATCAAATGCCATGCCGCCCCACTGGATCGCATCGAATTCTCAGACGCGAGCTCCTATTAGGAGCTAAGACATGATCAAGTCTCACAAGGGAATGGTCAGAAGTCGAAGTGGCCAAACCAAACAAGCTGTACATCATTCGATGCAGTATAAAACGCTGACTTCGAATCTGTCTTCCTTATCTGCTTCCCGTTTCTGTAGACGAAGCTACAAGCTGTTTTATTGTGAAAAACCAATACCCTATTTTCAGGTGTATAAGCCGCACCCTTTTCACTCTAAAGGCGAACACGCCAAAAGACTGACTGTCATCATGGAGCGCGTTAAGTGAGAGCAGTATGCGATAAGGCGACCGCTTCGCGAGACATATGCGCGGCGGCGCGCCTGGGTCTGCTCGCGTTTAGAGCAAAAAGGGTGCGGCTTTGAAAATAGGGTACATAAAAACAGCGAAACTGAACACATTGCTGCACTTTCAGCTCAGCTTCTGGTTTTAAAAATTCAAAGCAAGCTAGCTGCATGTTTTGGCCCAGCATTGAGGCGAACGAGGCTTTGTACGGCTAAATTTTCATTTTCACGCATAATTTCTAAGCAAAATAATGGTTTTCAATGGCTTATAATTTCGTCCAGAAAAGCGATAAGCAGATAAAGAAGACAGATTTAGAGTCACCGCTTCATGCTGCATCTAACGCTACGCAGCTTGTCTGGAATGGCCACTTCGATTTCTGACCATTTCCTTGTCAGCAACAGTCAAAGACTCTGCTTTGAACTTGGTATCATATGTAGGGCCCTCAACAACTTCTGAAAACGGTTGTTTACCAGTGACATCAAAAATCTCCTCAATGCCGTCTCAAAGGCAACTCCCAGATGCTCTATAAGTCGAATCATGAAATATTAACTCATGTTTTACAGGCTGAAAGCTCTTGTGTTATTCGTTTAACCTCTATAAATAAAGGGGGAGGGGGGGGGGGGAGGAAGGAAGCTGTTTTGACAAATGGAACAATCACGCTAGATGAAACTGATCAAACCAAGCGTTAACAAATTTTGGGTTTCCAAGATTGGCATACTTCAGCAAATAATAGATCTCTCAATCCATTCGAATCCAAAAAACTATAACAAGACGGAGCATATCTGTGCTTCGAGTTCAAATAAATGGAGATCACCTGTAGAGGCCTCCTGAAAAATGCACCAAACGTTTGCTCGCTGTGATTGCCCCGTCCAAAAAAATTATCAAACTTTGTTGATTGTTGAAAAGCAGTGCTGACTTCACATAGGAATTCTTCGTTCCAAAGTAATCTCTAGTTTCAAGATTACGGCAGGTATAAGGCCTCGGACGAGTTCACGCATTTGATCGTCGCGATTCAATCGCCGCAATTTCCGTTCATTTTCATTTTATCGTCGATTCGTTGGCTGTACGGACTGCTCAACCGCTGCGGACTACGCGCGGCGCGGTTAAAATGTTGCGAGAGCACGATTTCAACGATGGCGTGTTTGTATTGGAGCAAGCGTTTTACCTCGCGGCGCGTGCTCCGCGGTTATGTCCAGTCCGTACAGTCAACGGATCGACGGTACATTCAAGAATTTCGGACTGGAAAAGTATCACAACCGAAATGCAAGCTGGTCGGCAAGCAAAGAACTCGTAACAGTTGTCTTGTCGCGATTGAATCGCGACGATCAAATCGCGTGAACTCTGCCCGAGGCCTAACGTAGCATCTTCTCCGTATAATCATCAAACGTCTAATAATAACATTCCGCTCTCTAAACACGCTCGACTTAACTAGAATCAGTAGATCTAAGAATTTTACCACAAAGTTTCTTGACGCTCAAAAAATTGTTTCCAATTGGTAGCTGATGTGCGAAGATGACATTATGCAGGAAGTTGCTACCGTAAATATGCAACACTTGTATGGAAGTCTAAGCTGAAGCCAGCCCTATATGCTACAATTTTGCGTGATATATGACATGCTTCTTACATGGTACATTTTTCGGCACACTCTGTAGATGAGAAAAGCCAAGTACAAAATAAGCCAAGGATGTGGTCCAAGGAGATTTGAACTCATGATCTTGATAGATTTGGCCAATGAATATCGTGCACAAGCCATGCATTCAACGTTTCGCTCTTTTCTTTTGTAAAACAATTTACTATCGCTATTGATTAGCTTCTGGTGCGTGCTTTTAAGCGTTTTAAGCAAAACTCTTCGATTCAAGTCTTCCTTTGAAACGTGATTGAAATCTTGAGGTAATAACTTCGAGTCATTTGTAACTTAATATGTAAGACTGAACACTAAGCCCTATTAGCGACGGCACCCCATACTAGTAACTTCCCAGTAAAACATTTTGAGCCTAACAAAATGTAGGAATGTGTTCTACTGACTAACATATAATCAACTAAAACAAAAGAAACAAGGAAACGAGGAAAGATCACTGGAAATGATCTTCTGGAAATGATGTTCTAGTTCCGCAGTTCGTCAGTCAGCGTGTATGGTGTGCACTACGCATATTAAGTAACAAATGAACCGACGATAGGTATTTTGAAGAAGATAATAATCTAGGTGGTTTCAAAATAGTGAAGAAGCTCTAAAGTGCGGTTCATAATTATACGAACACCCAAAATTTTGTAAGTTTTCGGACTTTTTGGGAGAAACTCAAAAAGCCGTTGGTACCACGCGAAAGAACACAACCGAGAAGGGTATATGATCCTGAGAATGGAAATTGATGTCAGTCTTAGGAGTGTTTTTGCGCCTAATGCGAATTTTTAGCGGTTCATAATTATACGAACACCTCAAACAAAGATCCAATTTTTATTCAAAATTGCAGTCACTTGAGTCCAAATTTTTTGTAAAGCTACAGTAACAAAGTCTGACGTGTCCGCTATACACTGAACCCAGTGCAGCTCAAAAAGAGGTTTACTACTTTTTTCAGATGGCTCTAAATGCTTTTGGAGTGATTGCGCTCCAAAAACATCCGTTCATCTCCAGTTTACGCGCTCTAATGAGCTCCTACCAAAGCTATGAGATAAAATAAGCTTTTTCGATGGGTATCTTGTTTGAGGCTTAGAAAATCTTTGCTTTTCGTGCCGTTTTTTAACCAAGTTCTAACCTTATCACAGAATTAGCACGATTTCGAGCCTCAAAACTCAGCTTCTTTCTCGCGCAAACATTTGATATGAAACAGCTGCATTGTTTACATGATGATGTTTCTGTGCCAAAGTTTTTGGGTTTTTTGTGGAACTGATCTTGAGGCTGTGGAGCTACAAACCAAATAAAGGTGTGATTGCAATAGTAAAAGCAGCGTTTTTGATGAGATGACGTCTGCGTGGCCAAAACAAACGCTCAACGCTGCTGATTTTTTCTAGCCAAATATGCAGTCTTGTGAACTTCTACATACTATATGCTTACTTCATTGTACGGCTTCGGAAGCTGAGTTTTGAGGCTCGAAATCGTGCTAACTCTAGAGTTGGGATGGAGCTTGGTTGAAAAACGGCACGAAAACGCAAGGATTTTCCAAGCGTCAAACGAAATACCTATCGCAAGAGCTTATTTCATCTCATAGCTTTGGTAGAAGCTAATTAGAGTGCGTAAACCACAGAAGAACGGATGTTTTTGGAGCGCAATCACTCCAAAAGCATTTAGAGCCATCTGAAAAAAGTAGCGATCCTCTTTTTGAACTGCACTGGGTTCAGTGCGTAGCAGATATATCAAACTTTGTTACTGTAACTCTACAAAAAATTTGGACACAAATGATTGCAATCTTGAATGAAAAATGGACCTTTGTTTGAGGTGTTCGTATAATTATGAACCGCTGAAAATTCGCATTAGGCGCAAAAACACTCCTAAGATTGACATCAATTTCCATTCTTATGGATCGTATACCGTTTTCGGTTGTGCTCTTTCTCGTAGTACCAACGGCATTTTGAGTTTCTCCCAAAAAGTCCGAAAACTTACAAAATTTTAGGTGTTCGTATAATTATGAACCGCACTTTAGCTGTTACTCGTGACGATGCTCTATCAGATTTGATTGCCACAAATTAGATGACTATAATAACCACACATTTTAGATCACTGCGCGATTAGAGTTATACCCTCGAGTCATTTGTAACTTAATGTGTGAGACTGCACACTATACGCTACTAGCGACGGCACCTTTACTAGTAACTTTTCAGTGAAGCATTTTCTAATCTGATAAATTGCAGAAATATGTTTATAGTGATCAACATATCATTTCATATAAAAGAATCGTAAGGTACAGTAGGAATTTTTTGCAGAAAAAGACCTTTAATAAATCGCTCCGGGGTAATGGCGTGTACTTTTCAGCATGTCCTTTAGTCGACGAATGAACAAATGATCCACCTCTGAATTGCCGAATGGTGAGAAAGTTGTTTTCTATCATTTCATATCATTTCATATATAAAAGAATCGTAAGGTGGAAAAATGCATTTTTTGCAGAGAAGGACTTTCAAGCAGTCGGTAGTCCTTTGAGGGACGGCCGCGGGACACCCGTGTGCGCGCTTGCACGGGTCCTTTAATTTTTTGAGTCATTGTAGCATTCACGTCATGGATTCGTATTCTCCTTTGATCGTCTTGTAAGTCTCTTGTGTGTTCTTCTCGATTAAGTTGCTACGTTTGGGAGTTTTGGAGATGTTCATTTTCACAGTCATCGCATGTCAGGTATGCTTTCCTGTCTTCGGCTTCCACGAAAGCCTCACATCCCCACTTAGTAGACCTTTTTACCACGTTTCCGTAATGACTTGAATTTTCGTCTCTTTTCCCAGCTTTATTCGCTTACAATGGTATCTTAGTGTGTGAGAGTTGCCTCACTTTTGGCCCATTTTTCGTCCCTTTTTTGAAAGAATCTTAAGATTTTAACAGCATTTTCATTTAAGAGCTCGATTTCCTCTTTCCGTTGGTGTCATTTCCAACACTCTGTCTTCAATGGTGGCTCAGTTATGAGGGTTCAAAGTATGGTGAGGCTTTCTTGTTACTCCATAACTTGGAAAAACAGTATCTTTATGAATTATCCTATTTCCGGGCACCTCATATAAGTCGCATTCGCCGGAGCAAGCAATGGCGCGTAGGCGTTCAAAAAGAATGGCCCGTAGTAAAGCTCGGCCATGGGAGATCTCCCCTGAGGCCCTCATATGAGGCTTTGTTGGGTGAGATGGGGACTGCCCACTTTTCTGTGGTGTAAGTATGCAAGTTCACCCTACAGGTGAGCTTTAGATGAAGCCCGACAGGGAGTTCCCTACCGAGTCATCGGAGATGGGCCGGGCGACGACATAAGGTAAATACTGTGCTAAAGAGGAGAGCATAGAGAAAACCTTCGTAAGTTGCTCCCGAGTAACTTACGAAACACCGCAGTTGACGTTTCTTTGCGGTGCAAAACTCCCAGAACTGCACAATTTCGGGCGTCCAGGTGAGTGAGGATCGATGACAGCTGATTGCGCGACGAAATCGAAAAAAATTTTTTTTGCATTTTTCTTCCAGTTGCCGCTCGTTTTTCTCAAAAAACCGCTCCAGATAACAGAAGCGTAAATTTACCTTTCTAGCCATTTTTCGCCAAGCGTGATTTTTCCTCGTATAAAGGCCAAAATATTGTGTATCTGTTTTATCTCGTTGCTTGCCAGGTGAAATCTCTGCTAGTGGTCATCGGTTTTTTCAACAGCGGCCGCTATCAAAGGTCGCCAGGCCAAGTAGCAAATATCGTGCCGCTAGCCGCACCCGAACCACGACTTTGCCGCTTGAAACGCTTTAGTTTTATCCATTTGACTAGTAATGCAGAAATGGTAGAGTTCCACCTTTGAAAACGCGAACGTCCAGAAAGTGATCTGCTGCAAATCAATCGCTCCCCTGGCAATGTGCTGAGGCGCGATGAGATCATCTCCGGTCCGCCTCAAGAGAGATGCCCTGATGGGGGTTTACTACGGGCCAATGTGTCTGATCTAATAAACTGAAGACCCGGCGCATGACTGCTCTCCACTGCGTTCATGTCTGAGCATTTGAATGAGAATTTTGAAGATGAAGCAAGTGCTTGAGCAGCACGTGTTTGCCGCTTTTTTGTTTCTTTTTTGCATAATTTTTTTCATTATATCCCATCAAAATATGTTTCTAGGGATTGCTTGGCTGAAAACCTGAAAACCGTAGCCATGCATGAAGTTTTCTTGCGAAGAATTGTGCTCGCCCGGTATTTCAAAAGAACACGAACTTCAGAATCTCCATGCAAAATTGTTCGTGTTCTGTTGAATCTCCATGCAGAATCTACAAAGATGAGGTAGATATCTACTATCTTTTTACTTCCACTTGAGAGTGCTAGCAAAACTTTGCCTTATTCTTAATTCAAAGTGTTTTTGAATCCAGAGCTTTTTCGCTCCTCTACCTTCTAAAGTTCTCCCTCTTCTACCATGTACGGTTCCGTTCGCTGCGAATACGAGTAATACTACTTTCCGTGCTGCATTAAGATCGATCACATCTGCATTATTACACATCTCATCTTAAGCAGATAAAGTGGATCAAGCGGATCAAGAGGACCAAGGATGGCGGTTGCTTTTTCTAGGGCAAGGAAAAGTTTTTCAGAGCTTGCACGCTCAAGAGTGGTTGCCGTCATTTCTCATTGAATAGTAGCAATTAGCAATTACTTTTTCACTCGAAGCGCTGTTTATTATCTTCTCAAATCATGTTGTAAATAGTAATCAGATTTTCTTGACAAAGGCTACTGGGGGAAGCAAAGACTTGCTTAATTATAGTAGAATAGAGTATAGTAGACGTCATGTCTCAGTCATCGCTGCCGTGTGTGATTGCGCAACGTTTTGAAATACTGGGTGCTGTCAGAGAGTCCGCCTGTGCCGTGAGTGCACACTGGAGAGACTTGAAGAAATGAATTCAACGTCTTTGTTCGCTTTCTCATTCTTTTTATTTTGTTTCTCGCTTCTGCAGCAGTTTTTTTTTGATGTCTTGCCTTAGAAGTCGTATGTGGTCGCGTCGATAATCTCGAAGTGCTCAGTTTTCTACAAAAAAGGAGAAAAACCTGCAGTTAATAGGATTGGCTTGTCTTTACAGTGTAATGGCTCAGTCCTCATAACTATGTAAAGCAGTTCCCAGTTAAGTCATGTTGAATTTTTGTTTCGCACTGCTAAAATTAGTAACTATGCCGCTTTTTTGTATGACGTCATTACTAATCAATAGGAAGTTCAAAGCATACTTATAGTTGACTGCACGGAATCGCCTGGACTGAGCGCCGCGCGCGTGTTTCTTGCGCGCTAACATTGGCATTCGCGCGCGTGAGTCATCATAGCTCCCGTACCCGGCAGCCGCGTTGCAGGCACGCTCGCGTGCGTTCAGCCTACAGCAACTCGGAAGAATTCGTGCAGGCTACTTACCTAAAGACTGCTCTACATAGTCATGAGTAGAGATTTCTTACACTGCAGATACAGGCGCCCTTACAGCTGGCTCTTACCTTGCTCGACTGCGCATCTTTTTCCTTTCCTATAGGACTCTCTGGCCGCGTCCGGATTTTGAAATGTTGTGCAATGACACACGGCATAGCGAGTGACTGCAAAGATGACGTCTACTATAGCCTGTTTGGCTGCCGTGCTATCCATATTTTCATATAATGTCATAGGCTTCAGGCAGAGTTCATGCGATTTTATTGCCTCGCGATTCTCTTACAAGATAACTGTTACGAGTCTATTGCATGCCGATTGACTGCTTTTCAGTTGTGATAGTTAGTCACGATTGATCGTGGCGGAAAGCTATCATAACCGAAATGCAACTTGATCGGCATGCAATGGACTCGCAGCAGTTGTCTTGTGAGAGAATTACGAGGCGATAAAATCGCGAGAATTCTGAGCGCCGTAGGCCGAATGTTAGTTTCTACCACGTAACAAGTGATCAAATCAAAACTGAGATGCTTTATAAAGCTGCAAACACTTGGAAGAAGCAATGCTCAATCATCTCTATGATTTTATAATCCAATGACTTCAGAATACACTATATTCCTGATTCGCAATGACTGTCGCATCGAACGTCGAGAATTTATCGTAATCTTCACTTGTTCCTTTGATCGTGCTCTGGAGAGTGCTACATAAGTACTACCGTGTGCGAAAGACGGGGTTCGCATGATTATGCCAACTTTTTCAAATGTTTGCCCTTGGCTTTTGTTGATCGTCATGCAGTACGACAAACGAACTGGGAACTGAAATCGACGAAATGCTACTCCTGTGCGTTCGTCAGCAAAATCGAGCGGCATCCTTGTAATATGAGCAGTCTCCTGAGTCAAGAGATTCTTGCATTTCAGCATACGATTATCGGCCATAATTGACAATACTTGCAGCCTTGTACCATTACATAGCCTCTCTTCAATGTTGATATTACGTAGAAGCATTATAATAGCACCGGGTTTCAGCAACAGTCTAAACGGCGGCATTCCAGGAGGCGTCATATTGTGTAGAAACTCTTCGTCATCACAAGGCATTCCAACAATACCCTCTTGCTCACTCACTGGAGTATCTATTCCGTACAGCGCTATAGCTTCACCAGAAATCATTTCTAACACCCTCTCATTCAATTCAATAGCATCGGAATTCCGTACAGTCAGCAGCGCCATACTGCCTATGAGATTAGGATCTCTGAGTACCTGATCTGTGTACATCCATTCGATCACCTCATCTTCGCTTTCCATGCACATCTCCGCTGGTATTTCAACATCTGTTCCATTCGCAGTGAAGTTAGCACCCTCTCCGACACCACGCAACCAGGCAGCATATTTCTCCTCACCTGGACGAAGCCTCATATTCTCATCAAGCACAACAACTTGCATCATCTTCCACAAATAACTCGCTTTCAGAGTCTCGTTGATTGTGTCCAACTTTGTCGCTCCCGGCAGAACAGGCAAAAACTGACACCAATCTCCTCCAAATACCATCACAACACCACCAAACGGCTTCATCCTATTTTCTGGTGCAGCTAAATCACGAAGAAGCCTGTCCACAGTTTCGAACGCAAATCGACTTTGCATGGATACCTCATCCCATATAATCACATCAACATCACGTAACATTATTCCTTGGACAGAAGAAGCATCGACATTCGCGACGGTGTCGGCAGAAAGACGTCCTAAGGGAAGAGAGAAGGTGCTATGTGCAGTACTACCACTTTCGAGAAGAGTTGCAGCTATGCCCGTAGAAGCCACTGCAATTACGGATAGACCGATGTGCTTGAGCAGACGAATCAGCGCGTTAAACGTGAAGGTTTTACCACATCCCGCTTTTCCATAAATAAAAAACATATTTTTATCACCACTCTTCTTCAATTTAGCCGCTTCCAGAACCTTCAAAACGACGTACTGCTGTTTTCTGTTGAGCATACCGATTTCAGACTGTTGATCGTAGTATGCTTTGCCGCTGTCAGTTTCGTCAAAAGCCTCCGAAGAATGGACTTCCACGCCATCGCTCAAACTGTTGATAATCCCGTCCAGTCCACAATCGCTCATTTTCATACCATTTGCTGTCAATATATGCTCAATGTGGCGCAAAGATTTCAAGTCCTCCATCGCAACTGCTTCCGTACATTGCTTAGACCTCATATCCGCTTTAAACTTATTCCATAATTCAAGTGGATTAGACGGCTTGCAATACAGGAGAATATGCGCGAAAAGTCTCCTTATTGCTGATGGCATTTGTTCAGTACAGGCGCATCGTAAGCAATCCTCCCATTCCGAACTCTTCTCAATATATCCTGCTGCCTGCGCCGCTTCCATAAAGGTACCATACAATATCCCATTGTGAGTTCTCAGATCCTCAAATGACTGAACACCTCTTCTGTAGAGAAGCAACTTCCGCAGAGCATACAACTCAAGCATCTTTGGGTTTACTGAGCATAATCTTGCTATACGACGTCCTTGTCGCTTGTAGGGAACATACTTACCCTTGACAAAACGATAATTTTCGGCGACCTCAACCCATGTCATATTTTTTGCTTTTTCATCTACTGCAACAAGTTCGAAATATGCCAACAATTTGCTTTTCTGTGATTTGGGCACACATGGCGTTTTACTGAAGTATATGGGCTCCTCATTTGGTAAATGCGGCATCAGTGTTATGACAGTGTGGCTCGAATATTGCATGGGATATCGTAGTATTCGATAGGCAGCCTCGATATGCGATACGTATCTAGCCAGTCTGTACACTTCCCTCATATCTATACTCACCAATTTCTCATTCTTTTCATTCGTGTACATGCTTTTCTCCAGCAATTCATCGTCCTGCACGAGCTCCAACACAACAGCATCAGGTCCTTTGAAGATGTATTTGAATATGTATTTGAAAGCTTGAATTGCTGCGCAAACCTCCACATTTACATGACATTCATGCTTCATTAAAAGGTATGGATTTGTAGGCACGACATCTCTATTGGAAGCAAATGTTTTTCCTAGCTTTCCCACAGGAACCACTCTTCCGTCATTCCTTCTACGGTACAACGGGTAACCACCATTGCATAATTCAGTGTGATCCCTATAACGCTTTGGGTACCCTCTTGAGCATTTAGAAGAGTCCGCTTCGCGACAAGCAAGCTCCGGTCGCTCCGAGCAGGGTCCATGTATCATGTGTTTCTTTACGAGGGTGTGAAAACGAAGCTTCTCTTCTCTCTTGGGGTCATCGGCGCTAGGATACTCCGGAATTTCAGCGCATATGATGGAGTCAATCTTTTCTGGAGTATCAATCTTATTTTCCAAAGTTATGAGTAGATGTGCGTGAGGCATTCCTCTTTTTTGGAACTCTATACTCCCATGTAGAGCTACCACTTTACCAAAAATTTCCTTTTTCTTGATGTCATGGAGCAGCTCTGTAAGTCTCAAAAAGAATACACAGCAGCACAGAATAGGATCCGTGATCCATGAGTCGAATTTACCAGGCAAATTATTTTTAATCTCAGGCCAGTCTTGACTCCCTGTAAACGTGATAAATAAATCCGGCTTTCCTAGTCTTTGGGCAACTGCCATGGCATCACTATAAAGCTTCTGGTACCAGCTACGGCTTCCAACAAATTTCTGGGGCAGATTCACTAGCTTTCCCAACTTCACTCCTTTCTCCTTCAGTTTGCCGTCTAGATATCTGAATAAGGAGCTTGCGGTCGAACTTCTCAGTTCCGTACGATGTAATCCAATGCTGCTTAGTCTATCGGCTTCAATTCTTGCAAATGTGTGAAGCACGTATTGCGAGTATAGCTTTCCCGTCCCAATTATACGATGTTTCTGTAAATCTCCTCGACGGGCAAGGATGTAAAGAGCGAACTCCCTTCGTGAGACGAATCGTGTCTTACGCTCATCCTTTGATTCAAGCCTACTATCATCAAAATCATCGTTATTATCTTCTTCGTAGTGTTCTTCCAGCAACAGTCCTGGATCATTTTCACTAATTTTTTTCATCGTACAATGACTAACACGACGTTTTGGCAGTTTTTCTTTCACGAATGTCTGCTCTCCACGAACGAAGTATAACGGATATGTTAACGGATCAATGTTGTAGCTGTGATGTGGCGCTATCGTTTTCCCTCCCCTAGACATGATTCGCAATCCTTCGTTCAGTTCCTCATGAGTTAACATACCACCGTCCTTACTTACATAAATGGCGGCAATCTGATTTTCGAACACAGGTACATTGAGTCTTCCTGGGTGAATATTCGATGTTAAAGACGGCGCAACATCTCTTCTTTGCTTTATATTCATTATAACCTTTGGAGAATCTCCTTCTTGAGTGTGCTGCTTTTGCAGCTCTTCCTTGTATATCTCATACATTGTCATGTATGATTGCACAATGGGATTGTACTTTCGCAGTATATCCATTATCTTACGTAACAATGTGAATTCGACTTTACTATCCCACAACTTCATTGTTTCCTCTATTGATCGTTGTACCTTGAAGTCGTCTGCTATAAATAACTGTGCAAAGCATGCTCTATTGGAATCCGGATTCAAATGACACAGTCCTATATCAAAGCGGCCTTGTAACACCAATGGTCTTTGACCAGAAGATCCTTTGAATGACCTCAAATTTAGGCACAATCCGGCACAAGCTAGCATATTATTTATAGGACGAATCATATAGAAAAGATTTTCATCCCGCAAAGCAGCGTCCCAAAACCAGTCCAACAAAGGATCCCTTCGAGGATTGAACATGCTTTCCGGTACAACCACCTCACCGTCGTTGCAGCAGATAGAAGAGCCTTCTTTCTGGAACAGCAGTGCCCCACATGCGGGACATATTTTGTTCATTTCTCCCAGCGTGAAAATCTCTGCTTTACTGGATCTTATCATCACGTTCCGCATCTTACGTCTCCTACTTGATGGGACAGGAACTTTCATCAACAATCGTATTTCATCCAGTGTTTTTCTTATTTTGTCTTCAGTTGGGAGGTGGATCTCAACAGCAGGATGATTTGACATACGATTTTCTACGAAGGCGCAAATGCCAACCACTTGCACTTCAAACTGCGTCCAACTAAAATTTTTCATGGTAGGGATGAGTGCAAAGCTAGGATTTTCGAAACCGTAAGCAATCGCTAAATTCTTCAGCTCCTGGCGGAAATTATTCTGTACACTTGTGGCGGTAAAATCAAGGATAACTCCTCGACTTCTACTTGGCGACGTTCTTGTAACCATAGCGACACCTAGTTGCTTTGTCCTATTAAGGTATAAGATGAAGATTGAGGAAACGTGACTTTCTCGCTTACGACATGCGTCACATCCCAAAACGATGAAGTCTGTTTTGTTACGTTTACCATACTTTAAGCGAAGAAACTCAGCAAGAGAACAGGGCGACAACCACGTATTGTCCATTGAGATATGTTTAGGTTTCGTATAGCAATGATCGTTTTCCACATCTCCTACTCTTGCTAGCTTCGTTGGAGGTTCCAAGTCACTGACTCGAATGTCAACATCCTTATCGTTATATTCTTTTGCCGGTTCCTTTTTGACACTCATATGCTGCCACTGCGCCGAAACCCAAGACTCTTTTGGGACTGACATTGCAAACGTACGCTCTGTAGCTTGACCTGCCCTCTCTTCTGGCACATAGCAGGACAAATTTCCATTGTGATCCAATTCCCCTGTTCTACAAAGCATATCGGAAGTTGCTATGCGATTTCTGATGTAGTGCCGATAATCCTGTAAAAACTCAGCTGTGGCAACCTCTTGCACTGTTCGTTCTTCCTTACAGAGACGCTCTGCATACATGCACACGAAAACACCACAACTGTGCCCATCCTCCTGCACATGGACACCACCAGCAGATTCGACCAAAATAGCATCAAGACTTCTGTCTGTAATCTTACGCCATGTCGCCTCCAACTTTGCCCGTTCTTGCAGTGGAAGAAGCCGCGGCGAGTACGAGTAAATATGACCCATTGAATCATACAAAACTATGGTTTTACGTGCAGGCCGTAGCCAGGCAAGGGACCAATGATTGCCGTACATATGCAGTGGAAATAGCAGTTCCCCATCCGTAATCGGATACCCGCGAATGCGATACGCGTCCTGTGTTTGTATGAGACAAGGATCAAGCGGTGTGAACCTGCTCCCATCCGCAACAATACTTATAAACGCATGAATGACTTCATCGCTGAGCCAGCTATTACCACTCAAGCAGGATAGCAAATCCTCCGTCAACTTGTGCTGAGTCCTCACTGTGTAACGCGACTGCATCCCGATACAAGAAGAGATATCAGACTTTCCACACAACCTTTATATTTGTATAATTATATCAAAGTTTTCGTTTGAAGATAGCCGAAAGGAGTTCTCTGTAATAAGGGATATTATAGACGTAAAAATCCCAGTATGTTGTACAAACGTGCACGATGGAGTGGTACGAATGAAATGAAATGAACTACCATACACACAAACACACTTCTATATTTCAAAACAAACTTCAACAAAGTAATATATATAAGAATCACTCCCATACTAGAAAACAATACCTAATGCACTGTTCCATGTGTTAATAGCATCCGTCCTTACGCCAACAAGAGGGACAGTCCTCTTCATCATTCCCAAGCTCTCCCCACAACTTCAGATGCCACTCACACCAGGACAATATCGTCTGCAGTACAATTTCCCGCTCAGATAAACAGTCCAATCCGCACTTCAGCAACCGTGAACCAGTTAACAGTTGAATGAGCTGAGGCATCACAGCATTTGGTATGCCAGATTTAATCAATTTCTTCAGCCAAAAAAAGGCAGTGACCGCTTGCACAGCAATTTTCTTACTTCTGTATACGCCATTTTCAGCACTTAATAAGCACCGCAGGAACAACACGCTATGCATCACTTCATCATATGTGTTTTTTTGGTGACGCAATAGAATGAGACGTTGCCAGCTTGTTTTTGTGCCTCGAGCTAGCCATCAGCCCCTGCTTATAACCTCGTTTTTGAACTCTCCGTTCTAGCCGTTGCACATTGTCAGCTGCAAAGGAGGAGAAACCGAGACGTTTTCACTGTTGATCGCTGACTCTTTGATGAGTACTGTTTTAGTCTCATCTTTTTCGATTACCATTTTACCTACGATATATACCTTGAGTAGGAGGTTTTTCTCCCAATCCTATAAACTTATTTGTGGCGGCATGTACACTAACTATCGCAGAGCAGAATCCATCCAGAACCCAGAATCCAGAATTCAGCAAGCCTCCCAACTTTTCAAACGGATTCTCACTTCTAGTCTGATGTAACGACTGTCGCGCTTGTGCAATGGAATGTCTGAGGGCATCCGCTTAAATTTCGCAAAGCTTATCCAAACGCTGCCTTTAAAGATTTGGCTATACATGACTGCTGCTTCCTATCGCTATCACTGTTACCGCTGTTACTGCTGTTCAGTAATAGAATACGGTGCACTCTTATTTTTCCACACGAGATCTCACCGAGTGGTGAGTATGTTTCTTCTCAAAGCGTATGTATGGTCCGTGTTCTATTTGCCCTTCATGGCGTGCTTCAAAAACATAGAAAAAAATGCACAACACGCAGACTTAGTATTGTTCGACACGCGGGCAGCAGTAGAAACGGTGAAGTAAAATCCTTAAATTACTTGCGCAATAATTGATCAGGTGAAGACGTCTAATATACAACTGAGATGAAGAGATGTGTGATTTAACAACTTTGTTAAATTTTACTATTTTTTAATCTGTGGTTTTCGTTCCCCCCTTTGTGTACTCTACCAGCAGCCTCATCTTATCAAAGGCGACCCCGTCACCTATGGAAAGGTCGGTGAGGGAATGACTCCCCAATCATTTCATATAAAAGAAACGTAGCGTACGGTATACTTTCATTTCGTAAACAACTTTTGTAAGAAGCACCTTTTTGTTTGCTAGCTTTATGCTGTTGCTTTGAATTGTATTGTTTGTCTAGTCCGCATGTATTTTAGTTTCAAATTTCAGCTTATTCGCTATGAGTTATCAAGTACTCCTGAATGTGCGCGGGGAAAGATATCTAACTACCACGAAAACGCTTAGAAATTGTCCGGATACGAATGACAAAAGTCTTTTCCTGAAGCTTTCTATTCCGGTGGGTAGATTCTTCGCATAAGGATTATTTATTTTTTATGTGCAGCGCACGGGAGAGCTTTATCTCGATAGAGATCCAGAACTTTTTCAATGTATTTTCCTTTATTTGCTGGATGGAAAACTTGTGTTGCGATACTACGACGACCTCTTAATCGAAATGCTTCAAGAAGAAGCAGAGGTTAGCACTTGTTCTGCCCAAATTATGCGAGATGATTGGCTACGAAAATTGTACCATTCGATGCAACTTTTTTCCTCTTTCTACCAGCTGCCTTCTCTTTGCAAAACATGCTCAATTAAGGACGAAATCACGGTATTTCTCATTTTGACGAAGTTCAATGAATCTAGTTTGGTACTCTAACAAGGGGCGGACCCAGAGTCGAAAGTGCGAAATGAGGTAAGCTATGCATCATCTGAATCAGCGTGAGACGCTGATTTCAAATCTGTATCCATTAGCTGCCAAGCGGTTCTCTAAAAGGAGTTATGAGTCTCGGTTGCTCGCTGACATGTCCAGTTTCGTTAAGTAGGATCCGCACCTGGCAACCATGTGTGGTCGTCTGGTGTAGTGGATAAGCGCGGAGCCTATGGAGCAGATGGTCGAGGGTTCGAATCCTTCTCCCGTTTGACATTTTTGCAAGTTAACAATATGTTTGTTTTGCGCTATAAGGGGTATCCCTCGCACATTTACGGACTTCAGATCATAATCTACTGCTGAAAAGTTGTGATTTTCGCAGTTTTTCATTCACCATGGTTCTAGCCGCTGGTGCAGTCAATGGAATCAAATCTAGTGTATGTGTGCGACAATGTGCTAGTGTGTCTCCATCATAGAGACTCGATACTCAAGATTTTTTCTCTAATATACCACCAAATTTGTTCGCAAAGATTCAGAAATTTCATCTCTTATGCATGGTTTGCTTCCTGTTACACAGAAGCCCACCCCGGCCATTTCGAAAATCCGCTTCAGTACTGTTTTTCGCCTTCCATGTTAGGCAACTGTAAATGGTGACTGCACTCAATTATTTTTCATCAAATGTGCTCATTGCGAGAAGTTGCTCTGTTTCGAGCACTTTGTTCTATCCTATCATAAATGCGTATAAATGTCTGGTTGCCAAAAGTGTGTCAGTGAGACTCTGTAACTTCAAATGTTAATTTTCAGCGAAATTATGTAAAAACTCACAGCACATTGTCACTCACATACGTAAGATATACCGCTGACTGTCATACCAGCGGCTAAAACCTTGGTGAAAAAAAGTTCCGAAAATCCCAACTTTTGAGCAGTAGATTATGATCTGAAGTCCGTACATGTGCGCGGCATACCCCTTGCAGCGCAAAACAAACATATTCTTAACTTGCAAAAATGTTGAACGGGAAAAGGATTCGAACCCTCGACCATCTGCTCCATAGGCTCCGCGCTTATCCACCACACCAGACGACCACCCATGCCTTCCAGGTGCGGATCCTACTTAACGAAACTTGACATGTCAGCGAACAACCGAGACTCATAACTCCTTTTAGAGAACCGCTTGGCGGATAATGGATACAGATTTGAAATCAGCGTCCCACGCTGATTCAAATGATATATAGCTTACCACATTTCGCACTTTCGACTCTGGGTCCGCCCCTTGTAAGATTCAAAACCCTTATGTCTCGAAACAAAATTGCTCAAACAAAAGTTTAGAAAGTTATGTATCAGTACGCACCTGTGCGATAAGAGATGGTGAAATTCAGACATAGGTGATTTTGTCGGCAAGAGTCGCTTTTATCACAAACAAAAGACGGCTGTTGAAATGTTCAAAAGGTTCGTCCTTCTGCTGGTTTTAAGGGCACTTGACACGTCTTCACCAAAAGTTTTGAAAATTAGTGAAATGTGGACATCTTAAAAGTAGAGGGTGGCAAAATTTTGATTGTCTCAGCGCTCCTCATAAAAATCACGTCGCGAGTATAATTGCTGGAAAGAGGAAAAAATTCTGGATTGAATATCTTTTGAAGTATTTGTTTATCATTATTTTGTATGATTTGCGGGTTATCCAAAAAACGGAAAGCACTTTTGCACCATCTAAAAGAGTGCTCATTCAGTATTTTGGTTTGCCTAGTTTGGCGCACAAATTGAGCAAATTGAAGCCATTCCAAGGGGTTTGTATCATTGCAGCAAACGAAGAAACTAAGTATTCTGAAAACACGGACTATGATAGCTAGGTATTTGTAGAGACTGAGCTAAGCACAAGACAAGACCATTCTTTTTGTTTATTCTTTTAGGCTGTACAAGAATGTGGTGGCACCGGTTTTATCTTTTGGAATTTAATGATCAGATCCTGCTGTTATATTTGCTAACGCATAGTCACAATTTCTTTTTTTCTGTGCATGCCCTAATCAACTTTCTCCGAAAATCGAATTTTCTCTCATTCTTTAAAATTCTGTGTATTGCGTCTTGTATGTCGGTGTAACTTTCGGTTTTCTTTTACAAATGAAATGATTTTTTTGTTATCGTGTGCAACTGCCAATGATTACAAAGACTCGAAGATGGATCGCCTGTCTCTCAGCTAAAATGTGCACGATTGTAATCATTCACAATCACGTCAATCGCCAAGTAAAAGCAGTATTAGTGATTGACTCAGTGTACGGTTAAGATTTTGCAAAAGAGTACAACTTATTACCCTTCTTTAAGGGTTTTATCGAAATTGCTTGTTGTTTTCAAAGGCAAATTATCTGGTGAAGTAACTACAGAAGTTGATAATACGTCTAAAAAGAAGCAAGGTGTTCTTGAGGATCCGGCACCTTTTGTACATGCTTCTCTCTGCAAAATTTGTGATCATTAGAAAACTTGTGATGACCTAGGAGCCGAAAATTGGCATGACAATTATTGAGTGCTAAAGGCGATTTGGCACGTGGAGGTAACTGGATTGCTAACTGGCACTTCACCGACGGGACTTCTTTCTTAACTCCTAGCAACGATTTTGGTTAATTTGAACGTTGTATCTTGGTGTAACTCTGCAAGCAGTCATACTCTTTTCACTTAGACTGTATGCGCACCATGCCTTTCCAGCTGAACTTTTTGATCAAAACATCACTAGATGAAGTTTATCAGCTTTTACGGCATTGAAAAATTGTTATACGAGGTTTTGATGACCCGATACAATATTTCTCGCACCTGGTAGCCAACGGGCCGCTAGTATTCAACAAAAACAAAAAAGACCAAAGCATGAGGAGAAATCACCGAAAATGAGCAAGCTCTACTTTTGCGTGCGTCATTTAGCGCACATGGTGTGCAATGAGCATATTAATTCAAATGACTCGACGATACATAACAGAGGATATCAACTCCTCGTACTTTCACGCATATCTGCAGAAACAGGCGATGCCTTTTCAAAGGCTACAACCTGAGCATATGTCAATACAATGCCAATACCTTTTCACTATGCTTACAGATTTCCAGCGGTTACGATATCATAATGTCCGAGCTATTTGAGGTATAGGCCGTCCGCGCTGCGCGCGGAGAGCAACGCTGTTGCGTCCGGTGAAGATAGTTGAGCGCAGAGAAAAACAGGCGGCGAGAGTGCACGGGGAAGGAGTGACGCGCAGTACACACCTTGCGCACTCTCCGCGCCCTGCGCGGACGGCCTATACCCTAACTTCACTGCAAGACGCATCCGATTTTTTTTCTAAACTCGACCAGCCTGAACACCGAAATTTTTCGCAATCGATGGACTCTCTAATGTGTCGCTTCTCACATAAAGGAAAAGTGCGGTATAGCGATCGTTTCGCGAAGCACAGCGAAGAGGCCGAGCTACCTGTTTGAAAAAAACAAAAAGGTGCGTCTTTAAGGAAAGTTTTGAAAGTCGTGTGATGTCATAACTAAATGAGTGTACGATTGTGAAACCCACTGAAGATTGTTTGCCCGGATGATATCACGACAACGGTTGATAAGAAAACAGTTATAAAAGTAGCTCTAATCCACTAAGTTTCATTTTTAATAAGCTCCACGACGCCTGAAGGCTGGCATTCTCGTCTCACCCTAGTCGCAACAAGAACCAAGGACAACTATGGAAGAAGAAGAAACTGCGTGCTCCTATGTCAGCGACGGAAATCAGAGCGAAGATGGCAGAAACCCATCTAGCGATGCAAGAAGAGGTGAATTCCGCCTCCTCCGGGTTATAAACGTAATTGGCGCATTTACAGAGGAGGATATACCCGTGCTTGTACTGGGAGGAGCTGGAGCTGACGATGGTAAAAGAATCGCAGCTGGTGCTGGGAAAGGAGATGACAAAGATATAGAGAAGGAAGAGGAGAAGAAAAAGGATGCAGAGGACAAGGAGAAGGACAAGGAAACAGATAAAGACAAGGCATCGGACAAAGAGAAGGATAAGGAGAGCGAAGATGACAAGGATAAAGAGAAGGAGAAAGGCAAAGAAAAGGAAGAAGGTAAAGAAAAGGGCAAAAAGAAAGAAGATAGTAAAGATAAAAGTAAAGGAAAAGAGGAGGGCAAGGAGAAAGAGAAGGAAAAGGAGAAGGAGAAGGAAAAGGAGAAGGAGAAGGAAAAGGAGAAGGAGAAGGAGAAGGAGAAGGAGAAGGAAAAGGAGAAGGAAAAGGAGAAGGAGAAGAAAGGAAAGGCTAAAGAACTGCCGGAGGCGCATGTGCTAGGCAAATCTGCGTGAGTTTCTGAATAAGTAGAGAAACTGTTAACTTTCATAAAATCTTCTAGAGAAACGGTGGGAAAAGGAAGATCAGTGGTCTTCAAAGTCCCTGTAGAACATAAGCCTGTATGGAGTGATATAAAGATTGAGAATCCAACTAATGAAAAGAAAACCTTCAAAGTGAGTAACCCCATACCAAGGATTACCGTAATCCAAAGAGATCCTTTAGGTAAAATGTACATCAAATGAGCATTTTCGCGTGCAACCACCTCTTGGATTCATCAAACCAAATGACACAGCGAGAATTAGAGTATGGTTTCAGGTACTGCGATAAAAATAACAACTACTTGAATCCTTGTGAACTCGTTTGGAAGGGTCGAGTTGGTCTGAGGCAGTTTTTAGAGATAATCGTGTCAGCGTCTCTCCAGCGTCGTGTCAGCGCTATGCAGGAACGCCGATCACGCACAAGGCGAGCCACGTGGATCTCGGCACGGCGTTGGAACGGCGCTGGCTCAGCATCGGCAAACAAGCGAATTCGGGAGCTACTTAGGAAGCAATTCTGATGAGCTATAACTGAACATGTTCATATGCTTGCAGAATCAAAAGGGAATCCCAACAGAAAAGCGAAAGCATTATTTTGCTGTATACTATATGAAAGCACAAGAAGGAAAAAGCCCAAAGGATATGTGGCATAAACAGGCCAAACAAGAAGGTGAGTACATATAGTAAAATAGCTGCTTCCTAAGTGTAATGCTTTCATTTCTAGGTATATGCCGAGTTTTCGTATCATTTGAAAAAGCAACAGATGACAAGTCCAGTAAATCCGCCAATGCTGGCAAGTAGGAGCTTAATGAGTGCAGGAGAAGCTCAAATTGTTCAAAAATCGCTCCAGATTATTCACGTTACGTATGCAAACATTGTGTTCTAACGAATAAATATTGGAAAAGTTTGCATAACGGCTATGTAAATTTTTGCACACTATAGCTGTCCTAATAGCTACAATTTTACTAAACTGGCAAACAAAAGTACGCTCAAGCTTCAGAATTGGCCGTGTGCCGCTGTGTCAAGCCGTTCCAGCGTCGTGCTAGCAGTGCCGCATCCTAAGTGGAGCACACATGGTACAGGGCTTATCAAACGCAGTGTCGCTTGCATCAGCATCTCCACTCCCGCGCTGAACTCTGCATCTCTTCCGCCAACATCTCAGACAATCAAAGGCTATGGTGAGGCGGCGATAAATAGCAGTTTCACTGAGCGGGCGGCGATACTGCAAAAGTGGCAGTGAGCGGGCGACGACATTGTAGGAATGGCGGTGAGCGGGCAGCGACGGGCTACCAGCGGGCAGCTATAATCTTACATGAGTCAGAAAATAGCTGCAGAGCACATTTATTCCTACAAAAGCAGCCAAAAGGCGACGATGAGGCAGCGACTTCGTTAAGCTGGCAGCGACGGTGAAACGATGGGGATGCGAATACAGGATTTCTGTCAGCGGGCCGCAACAATGCTATGAGAAGGCAGCCTTAATTTATAACGCTGTATTGTGGCTGCCACCTGGAAGCCATATCGTTGCCCGCTCGAGACATTGTTGATCGCACCAGAAAAGTTAGATGTGCAGGCAAACGAGATTGGCAGTTTAGGCTTGCGTCATTTTCTCATTCCTTGTTGCCTAATCTTTGTTTTCAATAAATTACAATGTTACTCGCGCTGCACTCTCTTTACTTGTCTTCCTAGGCTCATGTAATATCTTATTGGCCGGTCAATATAAAAATATGATTTCTATGATTTTCGCTTGCTTTATTTTGGTATTTCGTCATTCAGCTCCATGTTTATTTTTGTCTGACTGGCTCAAACGCTTTATCCAAGTTTTGCACGTGGGGCTCATCCTGTTGGATGGCAAATTCGTCCAATGCGGTTCCTCTGAAGGTGGGATTTTTCCAAGCCTTTTGGATCACTCCTTATCAGCCCACTACCCACTTCTCGCAATTCGCACGACCTGTCACCACATTACAACCGCAGAATGTGAGTTACATTCTCTACAGGATTCCATTCCGCTCGTTCATCATAATTGCAAAGTTTTTCAGAAGCGTATCTTTGAGAGGGCGCCCATCCCAACACTACCGTCATCTATGGCACAGTTAAAAGTGTGCCCTACGGTCCAGTGAGTATTTGCATTTGATCCTTTCTAATTTTTTGTTTTCAAAAAGAAACACCACAAATACTTACTTGCATGCCTGACATGATTTCTTGTCATTGTGACCTAGCGTGAAGCGTAAATAGGCTATCGAAGGCTGTTTGAAGGATGGCTTTTGCATCATGTGAAACAAAATGTGTTTGCTGCACGTGAACTATAGCAATCGTTCGCATATCTGTCGACTATTGACTTTCATAAGCATTACAAGTCAGCTTTTAGAAACGAAGAAAACCAGAATTGCAAGGGGGAACACAAGACCTAACGATGTTTTAAACATGACGCGGCAAAATCCCGGAAGCCGACACCAATTTTTCAGTTATCCACTTTTGAGTGGCTTTAGATTTCAATCTTACGATATCTCTCTGATTCATTTTCTCATAATTGGTCTTAACTTTACCGGTATACATGTCTATCTTAGTGCACAAAAATATTAGTAATTGTCTATCTCATCTCATTCTATCTCATTCCATATTATATGCCTTTACGATTCCAACACAGCTGGTGCTCTCTACGCGTAATATCTGCCTTCCAATCTGCCTCAATCTGAAGTGATCTGAAGTTTGATTGATTTTGATCTGATATATAATATGCAATGGCATCATACGCACCGTTACACTTCAGATCAAGTCAAATCATCAGATGAAAATCTAGTGATGATTTGATTTGATCTGGACTGTAACGGTGCGTATGATGCCATAGCATCACTTTCATTCATTCCATATTTATTTCTCCATGTGGTCATATCCTCCAGATGGTTATGTTCTTCATCGTTACTTGTCATCGTTATCATGACTTATAATAACGGGCTAAGGATGTTTACGTGACTTTGTGTGTGTGTGTCTGTCTGTTACGAAATTCGTGGAGCGTGTTCCAGCCAACGTTTTAAGCCCAAATTTTGTATAGCGCATGCTACCTTCGTGAAAGTCCAACATGCAAAAGCACGAGTAGATTCGTTGAGTGGATCCCTCAGAATTTGCGCGCCAAACGGGTCCACCTGGCTTCTGTACCGCAAAAGTCGGTCCGTATCACCACTTTTTGCAGAGTCGTGGATGAGTTTGGTAAGCAAATGTGCAAGCGATGGAGTTTAGCCAGAAAAGTGGTCGAAAGTTTACTACATAACGAAAACGGCGCCATAACGAATTGGTTGTGTAAATGGTCAATTTGCCAAGGTTCTAGCTAAGCGTTTGAGAAGATTTTCGCACAGAGATGTAGCTCACGGTTATCGTTACCTTTATGGCGACTACCAAGTCATGACAAACCCAAAAACCTATTCAAATTTGCGTTTGTCTTCCTGCGAAAAGTTTCATCCACTCGAAATCACCGATCTCACGTGAAAAGATTTTCTAAATGAGTGGTTGTTTACATTTTATTCGTGGTAGTCGGCATAGTGCGGTGAGTTCCACTGCCACGATTTTACGAGAATAAATAAGGCACATAGATAGTAGAGCCAGTGCGAACCTCTGCGAAGCAGAGGTGACGCACTGGTAATGAATTAACTGAACTTACAGCGTTGTAGTCCAAGCATAACAAGAAGCTACACAGACAGAATTTTCAGCCGGCAGCCACAAAGCCACCGCGAAAACCCACCAAAAGCTCCGTGCCTTACGCCTCACTGCCGCTTCCCGCTGAGAACTGTAGAAGCGAGCGGGCTACAAATATGGCACTGAACGGGAGGCTAAAGCTGGCAGCGGGCGGACTGCTATGAGGGCTTCAGCGGGAAGCGAAAACCCACCAAAAGGCCGCGATAAGGCCACGGCGCTTTTGGTGGGTTTTCGCGGTGGCTTTGTGGCTGCCGGCTGAGAGCCTGTGATTGTCTGAGATGCTCTCTGATTACTGTCCCAGGGCGAGCGTAAGAAAGAGCGGAGCCTCCTCGATCGATTGAAGTGATTAGAGAGCATGTTCGCGGGAGAGACGCCGAGTCCAGCGTGGGAATGGAGGTGCTAATGCAAGCGACACTGCGTTTGATAAACCCTATATTTGATTCACGGCACGAGGAGCTAGCCGGCGCGGAACGGTGCTTTCCATTTCCAAACAACAAGTAAATGCATAGAAAAAATAATACGTCAAATAGTGAGCGATCTCACTGCTGAAATGATTCTTAAACAAGACCATATTTTTGCCTTTCGGGTATGCTTTTCTCAGAAAGAGCATGACTTTCTGCGACTAGCGCGATTACATCAGTTGAGAGACGTCCCATCTCAACAGCTGCGAGGACTGTTCTCCACTGTTAGTAAGCAAAAATACTCTGTTAACTTACAATTCTTCAATCTTCACATGTTTGTCCGTATATGTAGAAAATGTAACCACAACAAGTTTTCCAAGCAGCGAATGAAGCAGCTGTTCTTTCCAAGCTTCTAGTTGTTCCTCATTGTTGGCGGATAATCGAACAACTTCGCGAACCTGAGGTAGTACGACAAAAACTCAGATCGAAATCGTTAACTTTGGATTTCATTTACAATGAGAACATCCACATCATTCTCCGAAGCTGATTCTCCCAAAAACATAGTGTTTTGGGCAATCAGAAAAACACTGAAGAGGGATAAGCTGATTGAGAAGTGCAGAGTCTCGTGCGCGACCTTCACGAAGTACGCTCCGCTTACTGCCGTGCGGAATGGCATGGATGCAAAATGCTGAAAATACAGATTACAGTTTGTAAAAGGTTGAATGAATGGTAGGTCAATGGTGACAACACGTTGATGCCGCAATGCTGAAACTACAGCCAATTTTAGAATGAAGGAAAAACAGAATTATACATAACCAGTGTCCTGAAAGTACTGACTGAAAAAAACTTAAAAATTAGGTTTTTGTCTCGAAATATTGGGTTGTCCCAAAAGTAAACTCCATTTCCAAATATATTAAGATGTTTTTGTTTTCTCACGGACTTAGGGTACCGTTCGATAGAGCGGATCAAGTTTTATAAAAAAAACCCACCAAAACCCACCAAACATTCATCTGAGTCGTAACCAGGTAATATGCGGAGCCAAAAATCAAAATTTTCCAACTATCCCATAAAATCGGATCTCCTCTCAAGAAGTTCCTACGTACTTCCAACTTGGTACTTATACATATAATGAATACATAGTAGTATCCAAAAATTTATTTGGTGGAATTTACCCAAGGCTCATAATTGAGAAACAAAGATGGTCCGAAAATGCCAAAATGCCAGACGGGGTTAAATTTTGAGATTATACTTACTAAGGCTTGTAGTATACAGCGACATATGTGGGAGGGGCTGGAGGCGGAGTTTGCCATTTCTGGACGTGCCATTTTTAACTTTTTTTCTCGCTTTCCAGCGTGGAAAAATTTGATCAAGAATATTTGAGTACTTTGAATGCGATCTGTATCGCGTACGTATACCTAAGTGGAGGTCCGAGCGGGAGGGGGAACGGCCTTTTTCGGGCCTTAAAAAATTTGGGATCCCAAAGATTTTTTCGGAGCAGGCCACGCACCTTCACTCAGAAAAATTGTCATCCCTCCCCCCCCCCCCCCCCCCTCCCGGTCCGAAATTCTGGAACCGCCACTGTGTACCTCTAGGTTGAGATACAGTTCCGCCAAAGCATTAGATCTTACACAGCAGAGCTATAACTTTGATTTATGGTTAAAAATTTAACTTACTCGTTATAAATTTAACTTACTCAAGAAACAGTGCTCTAGGGCTTTTTTAGCATCCACATTTAAGCAATTCGGAAATGCTATGTTATCGTTCGACGACGCTTTTCTTTTCGTCGTCCAGCAATTTGTGTATATACGGCACTTAACGGTTTGAATGTGCAAGACAACACGCGACAATGCTTCTTTCCGTCGACATTCATTTTATTCCAGAAGAGGCGGAAATGATGAAAACTTCCAAACCCAAAAAATAATTCAAAAATCACAACCAAAAGTACCCAAGCATTTGGCTATACAATCTATTCTGCACAGATCACTCCGTCTAATTTGATATCTGTATCGCTTAGCGGTACGCTATCGACCATCTGTTGAGTAAGAGCCAGGCCGTACATTTTTGGCAGCTTTCCAAAACGATTTTTATGGTCCGCTAGCATTCGATCGTAGTGGCCCTGAAAGTACATCTCATCATTTGTTTTTCTTTCTTGACAAGCTCACTCACCATGCCATGACCGAGCCTATCACCATTTTTTGTGAATGCTACTCCCGGCAGAAGCACGAGATCTAGGGGACCTGAAGAAAAAAACGTATGAATGTGTTTATAAAGCAGAAAATAAGATAAATGTGCGAGTTTCAAAAAGGAAGCAAAGCGGAGGTCTCGAATAAACCCACACCGAGAAGGTGTGACCAGAGTTAGGAAATGTTGAAGACGCCACACAACTCGTTCATTCGAGCATCTCATTTTCAGTTCTTATTACAATATAGGATCTCAGACAATTCACCGAACTCCACAGGACAAGCACAACTTGCAGCGGTTCGGCAGGATTTTATCTATTATTGCAAAAGTGGAAACGTTGAAAATGGGAATTCCGCAGGATTTTTACGTTAGACTGGCCGAAAACAGGAACTTCCGCAGCACTTTCTACAAACTGTGAGACGCAAAAAAGTGCCGAAAAACCAGTTACAGATAGGAAATTTTGTGCAGGTGTTGATTTTGGATCAGCAACTAGGAAAACAACGGAAACGCATTCAATACAGTTAATTCTGTTTTTCTAACCGCATTCAAAACGAAACTGAACGTCGCAAGAAACTGCAGTAATCTGGATGTTTCATTTTCGCCTCCATTCGCAATTACCTGATTTTTTTCATTTTCTTTTGTTCAAAATCGGTTTAACTATTGACTAAAGCAAAGCTTGAGGTTTATGAGGAAGTGTTTCTAGAATAGATAGATTTGCCTTATCTTGATTTTCTGGAAAAAATGTCGATTTCCGATGTTATTCGAACAGAGATGGTTCACGAGATCGCAAACTAAAACTCTGCTCTTCTGTTGTGGTTTTTATGTCGTATCCAGAGAACATGTATTTTTTAATAGCTCAATGGGGCGTTTATAAATCGCAGTACTTCGGAAAACTCGAAATCTTGATAGCTTGGTTCCAGCGAGGCTATTTGAAAACGGGAACTTTAGAAATTTTAGAAACACATCTGTAAAGCGATACACCTCTCTTCTCGATTACAAGTCAAATTTTCAAAGCTTATTAGCGATTGAGTTCAAAATGCATGTCAAAAACCAGGAAATTCTTTTGTTAGAGGCCCATAACCAGGGCTCGGCATAGGTGGCTGAAAGCAAGCTGGATATCGTTTTTGGTACAAAAAGCAAAAGTGGTATCGTTTTTGTGGCCGATAAAGCACAACTTAGGTTATGTTTTTTAGTTGAGGTATCTTTTTTTTTTGAACTCTTTTACGTTCAGGGTTAAGGGTCAAAGGGAACTTCGTGAAAATTTGCGAAAATTAAGAGGGACTTCGTTTTTTTTGCATTTTCGGAAAGCCACCTCGTGCCGAGGAACGCCCATAACTATGTAGCAGCTCAGATTTTCGACATAATCCGGAAAATTGCCAGAACAGCTCCTAGAATCTGAATAACGTGTGGTTATGAAGTCTAGATCCAACTTCATGCCTAGCTTATTTTATCTGGTAGAATTGCAGTATTTTTTAGTATTCAAAACATTAATATAGACAATCTCCGGCCTACCAGTATTTTCGTAGGGCTCCCAGTTGTCCTCGTCCTTTGGCTGACGTATGCCAAAACGATACATCTCCATCTTTGCATACTCTTCGTATGAAGGAACTTTCAACATTTTCATTGTGAGAGTGCCTTTTTTGAACTGTTAAAAACCATATTTGATCTAACATCTTTTTTTTTCCAAATTGCACTCACCTGAGGAACAAATGCAGTTTTGCCACTATCCAGTATTGCTTTGACAATTTCATCAGTTTGGATTTCCCCATATTCTACGCCTGCATAAATGGAGATTCTATTTGCATCTTTGAACCACGGTGCAGCCAGTACCTGAAAAATGAAAGTTTCTAATGTGGCACGCGAGTGCAGGACAGCCATGTATACCTTCTCGAGGACTTTAGTACTTTGTTGGGCTTGATCTTCTCCACTCAGTGTAAGAAGTTCTTGCTGCTCAACTTTCTTGCGAAGCTCCTTCTTTTTTATTGAGATAGGGTCACTGAGCCAGGGTTTATCCGAGCTCATCTAAACGTAGAAGGGTAAGAGCGAGATGTGAACTATGAGATTTGCTTTACTTTTATAGAAAGACAACCTTCACTGTAGTGAGCCAAGCACAACTTGACAGAAGCAAACGACGAAGGAGCACGACACGCATACATTTACCGAGTAATTAAACTGGATTTAGTGACGACTACAATCAATATTTAAAGTAAGCCACTTTCTCGGCCAGAATCTTGCCATACTTTGGCAACACTATTCTACAGCCGCTTAAGAGTATTAGAAGTCTTTTCAAAACCAGAACGGGGGCTAAACAGTAGATGGCATTCTCGAAACAACGGCATTTTTTTTTCAATCTCGATGCTGTGCGCTACTTTTTTACATAATGTTCCATGTCCGACTTTCGATGAATCTTGGCATAACGATTGAGTTCCTTGAGTGATTCAGCCAACACCAAGATTTTTATCGCATTTATTCGGCTAACGTTTCGGCTTAGTCGCCTTCGTCAGAGCCAATAAAGTGAGGAACATTGAGAATTAACCTCTCAAACATCTCATCACATGCAGGAAGAGTTCCAAAAGTTGAAAAGACTCCCGTTAAGGCCTAGAACTATCAGCTCACCTTTTGCTGTTAGATGAGGACGAAAACCGCTGACTGGAATGCGCAGGCAATGAATGAGGCAAGTCTCTGGGGCTACGCATAGATCAAAACCAGCACAACTCCAGTAATGGCGCGAGCTCGGTTGTTACGGCGGTGCATTCTTCTTTTCTGTTTATTTTGGGATTTCTGGATAGTATCCAGCAAGCCTCGAGGGTCTTTCGTGCGGACACCTCAGTCTCCCGTGACAGAATGCTAATCGAAACCTCAAATTCTGCGTCTTGGTGGCATAACCTTCGATGTGTGCCCAAGGGGGTTGATATCCTTGATCTTCGCAACCCGTCCAAGTGCTCCTTGATCCTGACGCATAGCGGCCTTCCCGTCTCTCCTACATATTCCTCCCCGCATAGCTTACAAGTGATGAGGTAAACGGTACCAGAGCACATGCAATCGCCGCTACGATTTGTTGCGCAGATTATGCAATCACGGGTGCTACAAGCTTGATCATATGCTCTGTTGCGCACTAGACGTTGTTTGAGATTAGGGGGAGGAATCACAGTAGTGTTTGAGATTAGGGGGAAGTATCACATATAGAGTTCACTAACTCTTATGTTTGCTTCATCAACCAGGCTCAAATTGGGAAGAAGCGAACCATCATATTTTATTTTCAAATGCGTTAAGCACTTGATTCATTTAAATCATTCATTGAGTAACTGTAGCTTCCTGGGCTGTGTAGCCGTAACATTTCTCCTGGAGTGGCGGAGTTTCACCATCATGGATCATTCTTGAACGCACCGTCCACCCTAAGCTGAGGGTCTTGAGTTTTTGGCAGCATATGATATCAGGGTTCCCTATCAAGCGAATGGCTAGATCGCGGCGCAAAATGTAGCTTCGGAAGCGAGAAAATCGCTCCGGAATAACGAATATGCACGAGGACTCCCGGACAGCACCGCCCTCCCCATCTATGGCCGCCCACCCGTGCGCGCTCATCCAATCACCGCTCGGGAAAGCCGGCCTGCGGGTTACCCGGAGCGGGGACTTCCAGGATTTTTGCGGAATCTCGACTTCATAATCGGAGCCAGGGATATGAGAAAACCCCGAAATGTTAAAAACCTGGAAGTTGAGAATCTGGGTGGACGGTGTCTTCAACCAGTCCAATCCCAAGTAAACTTAGTTATTGACTCAAAAAATTACCTATTAGTATTAGTCCTATTTTTGGCAAATGTATACTATACTTCAATTCTGACTATAGTCACTGAGCAGAAAATTATTAATGACGTATTTCCACAAAGTTTCAGAAGGACCTCGTCTGTAACCCTGCTGGCATTAGTCTGTTCTATTTTTAGAAGTCTGGACGATGTTTTTGTAATGAAAGCAAAAAGGGACAGAATTGCAGAAAAAAGTGATTAGGACCTCGAAAGCGTTTTTGCCTCATTTTTTCAGTTGAGACCACCTTTAACGATCTCTTGAAGCTTATAGATTTATTGCTGGTCCTTCTTTAAAGAGCTGCATACATTAATGTGATGTGACAATCTTTTGATATTTTTGCTAATATCCACCTACTATTTTTTTGCACTATCACCAATATTCAGCAATTTTCGTGCAAAAAAAAAACGCCACCATGCTTCATCATGTTAGATCCTTTGTGACGTTCGCAATCATTACATAGCAAGCAGCAAAACAAAATGGGAAAGAATTATACAAGCGAACGAAAATTCAAGGCACATATGACACATATGACAAAGTGACACAGTGTGTACCATCAGAGTGAATGATCGGCGACAACGATGGCGAAAGTTACATAGATTATGGACTTGGTAAGAAGATTCATAACATAAGTAAACGAAGTAAGTCGATTTCGAAACAATCTAATCGTTTTGCAACCAAGTGCAGAAGATTGAAAAGCAGTGATAACAAATTATGGCGATATTTATACACTTATTGGTAGAGACATGAAAGTGATAGGTTTTGCTGCCGTTCAGCGATTGAGAGCACAACAGAGATACTTCGGACAATAAGCTCATAACTGAAGAATGTTCGGATTATTACAATACCCTTTGCAAAACAGTTATCGCTGAATGGTGGCCCTTAGTCACAGCTAAAGTATACTACATGCTACCGTGACCCTTGGAGCATGTGACACAGCATGCGAAGCTTAATTTACTCTCCAAAAATCGCAAAAAGTAAAGCTGCGTTCAGAGTTGCTGCCTGTGTGCCAACGCCGTGCCAGGGCCGCGCCTGCGCTCACGCTTCGCGTATTGATCGATTGATGGAGACCAGCAGACAACATTAAACGAGAAAAATAGTGTTGCTTTTCATAGGATATAAAGATGCGGTAGCTGGCATAACATGGTTTCAAAGGGCACTCAAAGTACTTTTTGCAAACTCGGTCACACAGTTTGTCCGGATTCAGAAAACAGAAAGATGTTTTAAATATCTAAAATTTCCATTACCTGCTGCATAGATAGGTGAAGGTGCTTATTCACTGAGCAATGAAGATAACAACAAAACTTCCAGTTATGCTGTCATATTTTGGGCGAAGAGAGGTTTCACCCAAGAAAAGTCGTCGGGAAGTGGTGGAACTTCCACAGATGGTTGCGGATTTGGTACATCAACCAGCCGTAAACGCAACTCTATGTTTAGCAAACGATCCGCTGTTGCCATTGCATCATGGCTAAAGAGGAGGTCTGACATGTGCAAAACTGATGTAAAAAATAAGAAAAAAATCAAAAGATTGGGAATTCTTGTGAATACCTGAGCGAGGAGCTCCCAATGAGATCCGTAAGCCCGTCTAACCATGCAGATAATATTCGATCCGAAAATGTAGCTCCATTTATGGTACTTCCATCGTGAAGCACAACCCGAATACATCGCATCGGTTGGGCTCCGCTTTTACGTCCGGTCATATCGTCGATACGATCCACGGAAGCGATATCCTTGACCGCCACTGAAGAAGTCAACTAGTTACAGCTTCTCAAGAATAATTGGCCCCTGAACTTATCATGTAAATCTACCGGAAAACCCTAAATAATTTATTGTCAATGGCAGGTAATATAAGTCATTCGTGGCAAGAGATTCAGCCCTACAACTTTGACCAGTACCGTACTTAAAAGCTGATTGGTCCCAAGAGGTACGGTATTGCGCGGAATTTTACAAGAATTTGCAGCTGCGAAAATATTATATGCACTGCTGGATAACTGCCCAATAACCTTCCAATTTACATAAGCAGAGCATGTACCCTCCTAGATTCAACCAAACAATGCCTTTGAGTTCGTTGACACTCTACATACCTTTCCGAACATTTCCAACATGCGAAACTCCTTCTACATAAGGATCAGAATCAGTATCCGTGAAACATAACACATCTGATGCATCCAACTTCCAAAAACAGTACTGATCTGAAAGCCTTCGGTAATGCTCAGGGAACAAAGATGCAACTTAGCAACTCATACCTTCCCCTTTATGTGGGGTTTTTCCTTTGACTTGACGTCGAAAAGTGAATCCCTGCTTCAGAGCATTTTTTCTATTTGTTCGCACCAGTTGCTCAATCGATGGCTTCAAAAGGTTCCGCAGTTCACTGAAACAACAGACTTATTTCAGATCACAGTGCAACTACGCCCTGCTAGAGAATCAGTAAAAAATGAGTAAAGCGTTTGATTTTCAAGGGAGTTGAAGACATGCAAAGGCAGTGGCTAAGGAGATTAAACTAAATCCACTTATGTCACAATCAAGAAAAACCGCTGCAGTGGTAAGATAAGAGAGCAAACAACATATTAGCAGCTAAGTAGGAAAAGCAGAAGTTAAATGCATGGGAGGAAACAAAGCAAAATCGTCCATGGAGTAGTGTAAAATAAGCCAGGGAGAACCAACAACTTTGGAAAGCGGGCTAGCGGTCAAAAAACTTATTGTTAGCAAAATTCCATATACTGAGAAATTTTTTGGAAGACTGAAGAGAAGAAAAATTGTGGCGAAATGATTATAAACAATTTCAAATTCTTTTGCATCATTTTGGGATTTCTCTAAATTCCGACTTTTGCTGGAAGAAATTCCACTTTCGTACAAATTCTAGCAAAATGATAATAAAGCTCCAATTATTTTCTTTGCTACTCAGAAAACTATGTCGAGACTTCAAAGATGCTAAAATTGTGGAGAGCATGACTACATACTGCTGCAAACTAACACACACCTGACCACTTCACTTCCAAGCTGATTATTTTCTTTCTCAATCAGCTCCCGCTTCCATAATTCCTTCATCTTCCAATACGGAAGCGCTTCCAATAATTCTTCCAATTTGGCCAAGCTAGCAGGACGATGATTCGCAGCTCGCCTTAGTTGTTCATGGACCACATTTGCGACCTAAGCAATCATACAGATGTGTTTAAGAGATTACAAGAGAAATCTTAAAAGAAGACCTTTTCGTGTTCATCTTGCGATGCATGCATTTCACGCCATGTGCGATGGAAAAGCTGAACTGTGACAGCGAAGAGCGAGTCAAAAGAGCAATCACAACGGAAGAGTAGCTCAATCAGCTTTTCTACGCATTCCTCTTCTAAAAAAGGAGAATCTCACCAATAATAATGATACCTAGACAAACTGCAACTGTATGTGGAAGGATTTCTGTTGATGAAAACTGAAAAAGGCAGAAGTCAAAATTCACCACTCGGGATCACTCCAACAACTGATGCCACGATGGAGATACAATGCATCCATACAGGAATCAACTGCCATGCCGCTCCACTGGATCTCATCGAATTCTCAGAAACGAGCTGCAATAAGAAGTTCAGACTTAATCAGTGACTTTTGAACAACACATTCATCTACAATACCGCTCACATTTTTTGAAAAAAAAAAGACGCGAATGTCGCATCATGTATGAACATCACCGTCGCGTGACCATATCTCGCTTCAGAGGGGACGAATTCTGCATCTAATGCCACCATTCGACTCAGCTCGGCGCGGCGCATCTTCTGATGTATAGAAGTGCCCAACTGGACACAGTAGGGGAACAGATTCCACGAATCGTTTCAGATGTAGGTTGCCCAGTGGGAGCAATGGATAAGCACACTGAGTAACCTACCGTAAGCAAAAATCTGAAGCGATTCGTGGAATATGACCTCCTACTGTGTCCAAGTGGACACTTCTATACATCAGAGATGCGCTGCGCCGAGCCGAGTCGAATGGTCGCTTTAGATGCAGAATTCGTTCACTCTGAAGCGAAATGTGGCCACGCGACGGTGATGTTCATACATGATGCGACGTACGAGTCTTTTTTCAAAAATTGTGAGCTTCTGTATAAAGGGAATTAGTGCTCTAGCCTGGCAATGTAGGTCCGAATAATTCAAGAAAAGTTCTTTTATACATAGATTTCACCATAAGCTCGCTTTATTGAGCGGAAGAAACGCCAGCGAGTGTTCACAGACTTTGAGTCCTGACAGTAAGACTAGCAAAGCAAATGATGAATCTCCTAAGAAATCTAAATTACAGATTTGGTTATAAAAGTAAGCAATCGATGAGAGATAACTACAAATCCATTTCAGAGCTCAGCACCGATAATAGAGTTTTAGAAGGACATGCTGTGGAGCATTGTAAATTAGAATACAATCGATGCTGGCTGCAGACTGTCGGAGAGCAAATCGTTAGCATTTTATATCTGTGAGCAAAAAGTTTCAAATGACTTTAAATTTCACCACTTCCTGATATGACCTTCAAAACTTAAAGGTCTGACTTCTTAATCATAAAAGAGCTCTGCATTAGTCGTTTTCACAAGCGAATTCTACTTTTTTGACCTAGTGAGTGAGAAGACGCTCAACGTTTCTCGTTTTTACGTGGATGAGAAAACTTTAAAAGATTGTAGTGACGCATAAAAACACCGCTGAACAACTTTCCAGGCAATTTTGGATTTTTCAAACCTATTCCACACTGACAATGTATGCTGGAAGTTATCATTGTACTACTACTAGTCGTGTAAATCAAAATAAAATCAGCTCCACATGATGGTATCCGAAGGTAGGAAAAAAACCGTGAGAAGAAAGATTTCAACGATCATACCGCGTGTGCACACTTTTGGGACACCCCATGTTATGGTACCTACCCAAGTGATCTGGATAATGTTATCATAACAAAAGTTGACAAGAAAATAAATATAAAAGCGGCTCACATCTGGCAAGTTTCATTTGTATTAAGCTCCACGACGCCTGGAGGCTGGCATTCTCGACTCACTCTAGTAGCAACAAGAACCAAGGATTAGTATGGAGGAAGAAGAAAGTGCATGCTCTTATGTCAGCGACGGTCAGAGCGAAGATGGCAAAAACCCATCCAGCGATGCAAGGGGAGGTGCTTTCTGCACTTTCTGAAGTTATAAACAAATTCAGCACATTTACAGAGGAGGATATACCGGTGCTTGTACTCGGAGGAGCTGGAGCTGACGATGGCAAAAGAATTGCAGCTGGTGCTGGGAAAGGAGATGACAAAGATGTAGAGAAGGAAGAAGATAAGGAGAAGAAGACAGACGCAGAGGATAAGGAGAAGGACAAGGAATCAGATAAAGACAAGGCATCGGACAAAGACAAGGATAAGGAGGAAGACAAGGATAAAGAAAACGAGAAAGGCAAAGAAAAGGAAGAAGGTAAAGAGCAGGACAAAAAGAAAGAAGATAGTAAAGAGAAAAGTAAAGGAAAAGAGAAAGAAGATAGTAAAGAGAAAAGTAAAGGAAAAGAGAAAGAAGATAGTAAAGAGAAAAGTAAAGGAAAAGAGAAAGAAGATAGTAAACAGAAAAGTAAAGGAAAAGAGGAGGGCAAGGAAAAAGACAAGGAAAAGGAGAAGGAAAAGAAGGAAAAAGCTAAAGAACCGCCGGAAGCGCATGTGCTAGGAAAATCTGCGTGAGTTTCTGAATAAGTAGAAAAACTGCTAACTATCATAAAATCTTCTAGAGAAACCGTGGGGAAAGGACGATCAGTGGTTTTCAAAGTCCCTGAAGAACATAAGCCTGTATGGAGTGATATAAAGATTGAGAATCCAACTAATGAAAAGAAAACCTTTAAAGTGAGTAACCCCATACCAAGGATTACCGTAATCCAAAGAGATCTTTTAGGTAAAATGTACATCAAATGAGCATTTTCGCGTGCAACCACCTCTTGGATTCATCAAACCAAATGACACAGCGAGAATTAGAGTATGGTTTCAGGTACTGTGAAAAGGATAGCCATTATTTGTATCCTTGTGAACTCGTTTAGAAGGGTCAAGTTGGTCTGAGGCTGTTTTAGAGATAAACGTATTAGCGTCGCTCCAGCAGCGTGCCAGCGCCATGCAGGAACGCCTCATGCACAGGGCGAGCCACGTGGATCTCGGCACGGCGTTGGAACGGCGCTGGCTAAGCATTGGCAAACGAACGAATTTGGAAGCTACTTAGGAAGCAATTCTGATGAGCTATAACTGAACATGTTCATATCTTGCAGAATCAAAAAGGGATCCCAACGGAGAAGCGAAAGCACTATTTTGCTGTATACTATTAGGTCGTTCCGAAAGTAATGTCGCTTTTTTCAATTGAACGCTACATTTCGTGAAAGCAAGGTTTCTAGGAGATCTTGGTAACATTCGATGCAGCATTTCATCCTCTTTCCAAAGGCTATGATTCAATTGCAGAATACTCGTTGAGCTTTTGAAAAATTACTAAAATCTCCAACCCATGCTTTTTGGGAAGGTCAAGTTTCACAATTTTTCTAATTTTTTGTAATAATTCCCGGAAGGAGTCCAAGTAATGGATGGATAGAGCAAACCCTATAGAAAACGGTGCCATTTTTTTCTGCTCCCTGTATCACGTCATAATTTTTGCAGAGATTTTTTAATGAAGTCACCGAATTTTTGCAGGCTTGTCTCAAACACATATGCATCAAACATCAATAAACTTTTGGATTCTGAAACTTACAAAGGTAGATTATGGTTTAACACTAATTTTACAAAGCATATGAGCATTTACCGCTTCAGATTAGCAACTTTCGAAAATTCCGGGTACAATCTGGGGCACCCTGGAAAACCTGAATTATGATGATTTTTACCGGAAAACTTTATGAATCGGAAACCAAAAACAACTGGTAAAAAGAGGAGAAAAAGCTGCGTTGAATGACACCCGAGTTGCTTGCCGGTTGTTGTTCTGTGAGGTCTGAGATGACCAAATATGGAATTTGACAGCATCGAAAAATTGGTTCTACAAACTCTAAGAAGCAAACTAAGGAAAAGAAAAAAATTGTTTTGTGTCCTATAGGGTTTGCTCTATTTATCTTTTACTTGCACATCTTCGGGGAATCAGTACAAAAATATAGAAAAATAGCCGAACTTGACCACGACAAAAAGCATGAGTCGCAGGTTTTGATAATTTTTTGAGAGCTCATTGGATATTATGCAATGAAATTACAACCATTAGAAAGAGGACAAAATTCTGAATTGAATGAACCCAAGAGCTCTTGAAAATCTTGGTTCCACGAATTGTGGCGTTCATTTGAAAAAAGCAACATTACTTTCGGAACGACCTAATATATGAAGGCACAGGAAGGAAAAACTGTGAAAGACATGTGGCATAAACAGGCCAAGCAAGAAGGTAGTACAAATACCAAAGTAGGCTCTTTCAAAGCGTCATGCTCCTTTTTCTAGGTATATGCCGAGTTTTTGTATCATTTGAAAAAGCAACAGGTGACAAATCCAGTAAATCCGCAGATGCTGGCAAGTAGGAGCTTAATGAGCGCAGAAGAAGCTCAAATTGTTTAAAAATCGCTCCAAATTATTCACGTTACATATGCAAACATTGTGTTCTAACGAATAAATATTGGAAGAGTTTGCATAACTCTGTACTATGTACCGCACACTAAAGCTTGCTGTGGCTATGATTACACGGGTAAACAGATGCAGATTATAGTCATACATAATAAAAAAAACCACTTGCGGGCGGTAGGCTTCTTTATACAAAAAAAAATTCAAGCAAGCCCAACACTGCCTTCAGAGTTGCACATGGTAGAAACGTGCCGGCGCCGTTCCAGGATTGTGCGGAACCCTGCACAGCGCTGGTACGATGAAAGCACATACACAACACTCTGAACGCAGTTCAAACAGGATATGTTCGTTCTGAGATTCATTAGAACGAACCTGTATCGACGCCTATAATCATTTCTAAAACAGTATATCTCTCCAAAACAAAACTAACAGTTGAATTGAATACTTTGAGTAGAGAATTGGGGCTAAAGCAAAAAAGATAATATAGCTCATAATTAGTTGAAAAAATTGCCTACTTCGAGTTCACCTAAATTCGCGTCGCATCGCCATATTTTGGTCTTAAAGGGCACCGTTCGACTCACTTATTGTTGGAGAAGAACGTCTTCTGATATAGAAGACCCATTAGTGCATATAAGGTAGGCGGTAAGTTTTCACATTTTTAGAATTCTACTTATCGTTAGTATAAATTCACCGTGCTTATTCATAGCAAACTGAGTAGCCTTTCGTGAGCAAATATGCAACTATTCGTGAAATCCGCACGGGGCACTTCTACGTATCAAAATATGTCTCTCGCCAAGCGGAGAGTGTTCTTGAAATCAGAATTTGTTCACTCTGAAGATATGGCGAGGCGACGCGAATTTAGATGAACTCCGGTGGAGTAAGGTGTTTTCTGACAAGTTATACATAGCGGCACCGTATTTCACAATTATTTTGAAGGGAATTAGCTATCCCACTTACAATCCTCAAATCTTCAGCATGTTGGTCCGCATATGTAGAAAACGTATCCACGGCAAGTTTTCCAAGCTTCGAATGAAGCAGCTCTTCTTTCCAAGCCTCTAGTTGTTCCTCATTGTTGGCAGATGATCGAACTACTTCACGAGCCTGACATACAAGCATGAAATCAAAAAAGTTGATTTTAATGGCTCTGCTCACAAGAAGTAGATCCACATCGTCTTCCGATGCGGGTTCTCCCAGAAACTTGGTGCTTTCGGCAATCAGCAAACGTTGAAGAGGAACGAGCTGATTGAGAAGTGCCGAGTTTCGTGTGCGACCTTCACGAAGCACGCTACCGCTTACTGCCGTGCGGAATGGCATGGATGCAAAGTGCTGAAATACAAAAATTTAGTCTAAACGGAAAACTGAATGGCTTGGTGAATGGTGACAGTGCGACAATACGCTAAGGTCGCCAAGGCGAAACTACAGTCATGTTTTGATATTGAAGGAAAACCGCAAGTTTTGACTCATATAAACAGAACTAGTCCCTTGAACGTATTGATTGAATTTAAAAAAAAACGTTCTCGGACATTTTTATTCGCAAGGAATTCTGCTCTTTCAATGCTTTGAAAAGACTAAAAATCTGTGACTATAAGTATGTGCTATACTTTTTGTATGGGTGAAGACTATGGTCTGCCTTTCAAATCTGAAAATTTTTTGAATTTGTGCATGCTCAGGATTACCTAGTAGAGTTTGCTTTCATCAAGCTAACATCGCGTAAACCTTCGTTAAAAATTGGTACAATTATTTTCTCTCTGCAACTAGTGCTATTCTCCACACTCTAATAAACGGGACATATTCTAAGTGGGGCTATCCGTCAGCTCCACAATGATATCAACTTTCTTCTCTAAAAAGGGATAGAAGACATTTCATCACACAGTTTGACTAGCCATTCTGATCATGCTACGTACAAAAGTAGGCTGCGTCAGAGTTGCCCGTGTACGATCGCGCCAGTGCCGTTCCGATGCCGTGCTAGCGCCGTGCCAGGAGCGACGTGAACGCGCATGACTGGTCGATATCAGGACTCTTCTAAAAAGGTGTTAGCACCGTGCTGAAATAGCGCTGGCACGAGCAGCTGTGTACGCCTAACATATCCTTAGGTGTATGTGTTGTTCCCGATAAAATAAGCACAATGAATTGTTTTTGAATAAAGCAAAAATCATTTACAAAATGGGCTTTGCCCAAGTCTTCTACAAACATCTCAATCATTCGTTACATCTCATGGATGACATGAATTTCATAACATCATGGCTGTGGCGCGAAAGTTGTGTGAATAGAACCAGGCAAGAAATGACTGAAAAAAAGTCAGTCGCAAGAAGTGTCAGGTTTTGTTCAAAACAATTCTAGCCAAAACCAGTCATCATGGCCGAAACTCGCATAATCCATCTCGAAAAACCATGCGATGCAAATTACATGTACAACGCTAGGTGACTGTTCAGAAAAATACGCGAAAGATTCCAAGTTCCGCTTACAACCTAAGCTACATTAAAATATAAGTGTTCCTCTTCCACCTTTCGGGTAGTATCTTGTGCGCATTGATGATAAGTTCTGGAAAAACAATGAAAATTGTGACAGGTAGAATCACTGAGCGTTACCACTACTCAAGCAGTCCAAGTTTGAAGTTTACATCTTATAGATAACTCAGCACGCTTTAAACATTTTTCGCTTCAGATTCTCTAGGCCACACTCTAATAACTCAAAACCATTCAAGAAAGTTCCGATGAGACTCTCTACACTACCTCGACGTCATGTATTGTTTTGTTATTATCGTTTAGATAAAAGCACCGATGCACTTAAGTAGACTGACAGATGACTGTTAAACTGATTTTGAGCTTTTATCCCATCGCAAATAAAAAAGGTGAGAAATAACCCTCAACATTTAACTAAGAACCCTAACATATTTTGGATGGAATGCTAAAGAGCAAAAGTTTGTGCTGCTTCTTGAACCCATCCGCGAATTCCGCACATTGAAAGAGACAAAAATCAAGAAGGAAAGTTCAGCTTACTCGTGACCATTCAGCGCCATGCTTCCAAAGTAATTTTTTTTCTGACAAACGGGAGCTCTGACAATCAGCAGGGAAAGCGAAGATTTTACGTTATACTTTTTTCGTACCTCTCTAAACGTTGAAGAACCTCTCAATTCATGATTCCATCAATTCTAATTGTAATTAGCTTTCTACTTTGAAACTGTTACAAATGAAAGCACTATCACTGGGTAGATAAACCGACCACCGCCTAAAAATAGAAATACACTAAGATACAGTCCTGCAGACTTATGGTATCGCGTCATAAAAGAAAAGAAAGAGCTATATACTTGCTAACGAATTTTTTAGCGAAATGCAAAAGAATCACTAAATCGCAAGAGTTTTGCTCCCTATTCGCTAGTGACTGGACTCTTTCGAGAAGTTAAAAAGAATGACATGAAAACCAGCCAGAGTTAGACAAAATGAAAACAATATGTCTAAAACATCAGGAAATATCTAAGCGCTCGTCGAAAGGAGTCACCTAGAAATCGTTGCTGCGAAACGGGGAGGAATTTTCGTGTCAAGTATTGTCTGAAGTGTTCACGATATTTCTACAAAATCTGCGAATCAAACCAAAAACAGCACGAACATTTGCACTACATAATAGCAATGAGGGCATCTACTTGACCGAGATTGCATCCCCTTCCAAGCTGTGTTTTAGTTTTTATTTCAAAAAATTTCGCTAGAGTACAAGTCTACAATAATCCCATAAAATCGTACCTTGACAATCTGCTCGCGAGCCGCAGCATCACTCTTCTCATGTAGTGCGTTCATAAGTGACAATGCTGCCAATGCGACTTTCTCGTCTGACTTTTCCAGATGTCGAATCAAAGTCTGCGCGGGAACTTCCTCAAGGACTAAGAGACGAATCGTGGGGCTGTAAGTGGCATAAACATGTGCATTGTGTGGAATCGTCGCCACTTATGGGATAAGCAAGCAATAACAACGTGTTCACCTGTCGCTATTGAGAAGATTCTCGATCATTTGAAGAGCTATCGAAACTACTTTTGAATCTTCTCGTTTGGCCCTGCCTAGAAACAAAGAATGGAATCAAAATGCCAAAAATTATCCGGTTTCGAATTCGGAATATTACCAGTGACTAAAGTAGCCAGCTTGGTGACTAAAAGTGTGGACGCAGAGTTCCAGCCAATTCCTCGAACATTCAGATCGAGCATAGAACAGATTGAGCGAAGACACAGATTGAGGCATGTTTCGCTGCTAAATTTTGGAGGATCTTGAACAAGGTTAGCCAATTAATGAGAAAAACAACGAACCTTTCTGTCCTCTCATCAGTTAGAAGATCATATAACAATTGTAGATTTGAAAGATAATAAAAGCAACTGACGAAGTAAGGATCCTAGAAGAAAAGTATTATGAAAATTTGCAGTGAAGATGAATTTGAGACTTAATGTGCGGATGAAAAATAGGTGTCCTAACAGTGCAACCACTTTGTTGCATAAGTTTGGTCACATCTTCCTTTTGCTTTAAGAAACTTGAGAAATTAGGGAAGCCTCCTTTTTGGGCCTATATAGAGAGCCTCCTTTTTGGCCTATATAGGGAAGTGATTGATACTCATTGGTGTCGTTTTGATCTTCATGGACATGACTCAAAGTAAAAAAGACAATTTAACGGCAAATTCACTTATATTTTCCATTCTTCAATGAATTCCCTCTTATTTTCATCTTCTCACATTTTTCATGAACTACCGGGAGCATCGATAGTCATACGAAAGCGTTCGGAAGTTAAGGCTCTTCAATAACGCAAACTAGAGCCAAAAACAATTTTAAATAAGTCCAAAGAATACAACAGCTTGTTCATTTGACATACAGGTATAGATCCACAAGTTTCCAAATAATCTGGAAATGGGGAAAAATGTTTCGAGAATCGAGGAAGTTACAAAGATTTTTTTTTCGCGGTATCAAATCCTATCTAGCAATCTAATATTACCGAGTGTTTTTGCCATAACAATGTTCGTTCCATCAATAAAACAAACCGAAGAGAAAGCTTCCAAAGTGGCCAGTGCCCATTCGATATTTTCATAATCATTCCTATTCAATATGGCATCTTCAAGTCGTCCCACATAATGCTCCTGAACATATTCTAGTACTTAATATACATAGAGAAATTACACAGTAAAAACAAATAACTGTGCGTAAATTCAAAACATAGATCAAAAATTCACCACTTACAGGAGCAGCCGTAACAGTGAGCATGAATCCATGACTGACACGATCCAGATTATTTGGAGTCAAGAAAGCCTTAGGCTCTTCAAAAATCAGCCCGTATTTCTCGCTAGAAGGTAGCTTCAACTCATGCACGACATGTTTGATCACCTCATTCACGTCACCAGACTAAATCACATTTTTACATGAACTGATGAAAAAAATAAGGGTAAAGACAGCCTTACCTTCTTGTCGATAACGATGAACGCAGACATGGGACCGTTCGCTTCCAGCACAACATTGGAATTCCATTTTGCAATTTGTTCATCAACTATTACTGCCCCCTGGAACCATACTATGATACGTCAAAATGAGCAATTCACTTGTTTGGTTGTATACTAGAGAACATTCACATAGGCGCAAAAATAATAAAGATAATAAAAATTATGAAAACACTACTTTAGGTGTATTATAACATGCTGTGATTGAATTCAAATAAGGTGGTATATAGTCACGAGCATTGAGAGCTATCCATACAGCTAAAAAGTTAGATCTACAAAATTCCAAAATGGTGTCTTAAGATGTGAAACGCTCCTGACAGAGATTGGAAATGAATGCGAAACAGCACTGAAACTTTTCGAGACAGTACTGTGCCTCTACCCTTCTAATCAATAACCTCGTAAAGATTAACTTGTACTTCGAGTTATCTTTCCGCTGCCCCTACAATTTAATGTATAGGTGGAGCTGATTGTCTGTATGTGTAAGTGATTGTCTGAATGTATGTTCCGAATAGAATTATTTCTAAACCGATTCGGATCCATTACACCACAACACACCACACTTCGGGGCGGGGGGTGTAGGCTGCTCTTCACCATTAATCGATATCGATTATCCAATTTTAGCAAAGTTTTACCTAAGAATCTGGGAGTTGGCATAGGGGGGTAATTAAGCATTGATTACGAAAATATTTATGGCAGGGCCGAGCAAAGCCGCGCTTGCCAGCTTAGTCATCCCAATAAGCCGAAGATTAATTTAACACATTCACGACAATACGACCCACCGGTGGGTCGTACGAAAATGATAGTCTCGTTCTGATACTCGTCCGTCTTCTCATGTACACTTGAGTTAAAAGAGCATCATTCTTCGAAGAACTTGAGCCAAAGTCTGTGCCTTATTTCTATCTACGCTATACCTAGCGTAATATCATACTGCAGTATCCCGAACCACTCTGGGTGGGGCCTAGGTCTCCCCAAGCATGTGCCGGCACATAGCAGAGGCAACCTAGGGCTGGGTTTCTGCTCGGCTGCACCTGCATGCGCAGGTCACCTTAAATGTGGATATAACCCATGTGAAGTCAAAAATAGTGAAGATCGTTCCTGCTTCACTACTGAGCAAACTACAAGAGATTATTTGAAACCCCATCAGCGGTCAACTCATAAGGAAACCTGTCGTCAGCCCAAATGCAAGTTTTGCACCTCATGCAAGCCCTGATGGCATCCCTTTCAATGCGCCGTATCACACGCGAGTAACCCTTATGCTTACAGCGTGCGTTAATTCATATGGATGAACGGGTCGCTGTTAATTTCGGCATGCGTGGGTATGGGTGCGCGGGCCGCCAGCGAAATTATTAGCCTAGACAGGCGTGCGGGCCACCGTCAGCATGGCACCAACTATGTGCGCGGGTTGCCGGCTCACACCTGTGGGCCGCTGCTGGGCCTGATGCATGTAAGGCTGATATTTAGGTGCCGCGGCTCAACAGCGAAGCCCAGTTGGACGACCGGGCCGCTGCAACAATTGTCTGAGCCGGAACCCCGTAGACTTTCATCGTAAACTGTCCGATATGGTAGAACACGTACGACCCACCGACCCATTTTCGTAATCAGCATGCTGATTATGAAAATGATAGTTTCGTTCTGATACCGTCTTTTAATGTTTCTTGATCTTACTAAAACTCTGCCGTACTGCTAACGTACTGCTGTAGCTTCACAGTGGGACAGTAGTGAACAATGTCGACACTATAATCGTGATCACCACGTAAGATAACCCCAACACCCAATTTTTATGAAAATCCATGATGTTGGGTTTGTACAGAATGACTACCTTGACCTTACCGTATAATGCCAAAAGCCGAAATAAATCGTATTCTGATAATCAGCGCATTCGATAACCCTTGTGGGAAAATTCTTGGAGGGATGTTTCAAATTTTTTCAAAAAACTACCCTTTTGGACAACACGACCCATGGGTGGATCGTGAGTTTGACACACCGAAGAAGGCTCTGGCTCGAAACGGCAGTAACTGAAAAATCGGTCTTGCCGTGAATGTGTTAAGGAGCACATAAGCTATGAAAAAGGTTGTTTGGTACGGTTTTCCGTGATCAAATTTCCCTCAAAACTTTGAAATGAAGATATTGAAGATTAGCTGGGGTTACACAAAGAAGAATTTGTTTTGGGAATTCTTGAGCAGTTACGGATCCATGCCGAAAATCTGATAGGATGCAATGATTAATGACTTTCGAAAGCACGTATACCTCAAGATGGATATCTGAGGAAAAGATTCTCAATTTTGTTCTGACACCAGTAACAATACATTGAGCTTCTAAGTTGCCTGACGCTCGAATCTCTTTTGCGCCTGCTTGTCCTCATAAAGCTAACGGCTCACCAGAATGACAACTTTTTGGTATTCATCGTCGGCTCCCTTGGATGAGCTGAGTCTGGAACTGTGCTTACAGGTTGGAGATATCAATGACTCGCTTTCCGAGACGTGGAGAGTGCTGCTAGGGCGGGCCGCGAAAGTGGCTGCTGGAGCCAATGATCCAACTGCCGCCGAGATGGGTACGGTATCTCCATTCACGAGCCATCTGCGCTCTAGAGGGCAGACGCCGCCCGCCCGAACAGCGCTTTTATTTTATTTTATTTTATTTTATTACGTAGGAAACCCTACGAAAAAATCAACAAAACTAACAACACATAAAAAAGAGTCAACACAACGTCATAACAAAACAACTAACGAGATTCATTTTTTTTTGCAAATAGCTCCTTAACAATCTTTTAAACGAAGCCAGTTTCGGTACAAATACTCGTTCACGTATAAGTGCGTCCACATCAGGCAAAACTCTACATAAAGAAATGCCTTCGTACATTGAGCTTAGATCTTAGAATAATCAGTTTTCTTGTACCGCCCCTAGTTTTTAGATATCTTTGTCATAAAAAATGTATTTCTATTTTTCTTGTCGAAAAGCGGGTTACTGATATCTTCTGAAGCTACAAAGCACAGTCGTAGGCACAGCTCGTACAAGAGAACCGAGAACGACAAATAGCCCAAAGTTGCCATTCTGCCGAGTCGCTGCCTTTGAGGTACCACTATGGTTCTCGTGATACCCCGTAACTTATGTTGTTACTTCGTTCGTGATTCGTACTGCCTATGAAACTCAGAAACTTCAAACCAAGGTAAAAGCGCTGATGATCGCATCAAACTCGACTTTTGCGCGTATTATTTTCAGCTACTGTCTACAAAGCCTTGTTGGTTGGAAGTAAAATGCGCTGATTAAAACTGATAAACCGGTGAGTAGTAACCTGATATTGAAGCCCTATATTGTTAGAATGAAGTTTTCGCCCTCAGGGATAATGAGAGTAGCACAAATCATGGGATAGGCCAAATAAACAAGAACTATTACCATACGACAAGGCATCTAGTAGTCTTTGCTTGCGATCACCAGTGTCAAGGCGTGGATGTGGCACGCAATATTTTGGGTCGTATAGAAGATCAGAGAGGAAAAGGGCTTGCAATCAAGGTGACACTGATACGATCTTTAACTGTTTGCCAGACCCAATTATGCAAAATACAAGCACACTGAGAAGTTACATATCGCCGTACACCAGTGACGGTCCCAGGATTTCCGTCCAGGGGGGGGGAGGGAGGCAGAAAATTTTTTCAAATGAAGTGCGTGGTGTTACTCGCACTCCGAAAAAAGTTTTTAGGTGTTTCTCAAAATTTTTGCGCGACCATAAACCCTACAATCTAGAAAAAGGAGGCGTGGTTGCATCACGCCCCCGACAAATTTTTCACAAGGCTAATTTGAATTTTTAGAAATTTCTAAAAAATTATTTCGATTATGTGCAAGAATAAACAATTTAATACCGTAAGCACAACAGCGACCCTATAAAGGCAGTGTCCAGGCACATCTGGGCGCATGGGGTTTTGCCTGAAAATGACGAGGGGGTCCTAGTTAAGGCACTGCCGAAAAGGCAGCGCAACTCATTCATTCACGGGTGAGAGGTCAACTCATTCATCCCCAAACACTCCACGCCTCGCCGTGACCGTAACTCGCGGGTAAGTCAAGACAGGTCCCAGGCGAAGGTAGTATCAAAGTGAGCGAAGTCATTTCCGAGTTACGGTCACGGCGCAGACGCGGAGGGGAGGACGGATTTCTCAGCTGTGAATAAATCATTTGCGCTGCCGCTGGGCAGTGCCTTAGTTATGGCCCTCGTATCAGTTTCCAGGCGAAAACCCACGAGCTCAAATTTGTCTGGACACTCCCTATAAGCACGATGTGATTCAGTTTCGTGATCAACATGCCACAACCCCTGTGGATCAAGTTTTAGAGAGATTCTTTCGCAAATATAGACCTACCTGAATGTAAAGGCCTTTTTCAAATGGTTGACTTTATTTTCAAATGAGAAGTCTGCATCTTTTTGCCTTCAATACAAAGCACTAACCCTTCTCAATCCACATCGCTTTTGTGATTGTGTTTCCATTATGTATTACGGTGAATGAAAACGAATCAAGTTTGGACATTCGTCATATCCTTTGCTGGAAGCAGTACCACTATCAGGCTGCTGCATAAGTTTTATCCAATTTGAATTCGATTTCAGGCAGTGGCGGACCGAGGGGGGGGGGGCGGGGGGGGGGGGCGCCCCCCCCCCCGAGAATGGGTCGCGAAATTTTTGAAACTTACCTATATGGGTTATAAAATTGTGCAAACGACTTGTTTGCACTTGAAAATAATTAAAATAATTTTTAAAATTTTCTAAAAATTCATTTTAGCCTTATAAAAAAATTTTTTTCGGGGGCGTGGCTGACGCCACGCACCTTTTTTAGAAAAAAATTTTTGTCGCGCCCCCCCCCCCCCGAAAAAAATTTCTCGGACCGCCACTGATTTCAGGATATATCATAACTTCCTCCGAAATCGACTTTTTCCCATAATCTTGAATTTTGTGTGTTGGGAGCAGTACTTTAGCTATCGGAGGAATACTAGTTTCTGTAAGAACCCTGTTAAAGAAGAAGAAAGAGCGTTCTTTTTCAAACCTCTTCTTTGACATGGCCATGCTCACTTATGGGAACTGACGGTTACATTAAGTAGCGATGGGTAGACAGAAAATTTTAAGATTATTCTACACCCTAAAAGGGCCCATAGAACCTTCGGCGCCGAGAGATTTTTTTTGACCGAATAATACGTATATGTATACCAACTTTCACATTATGAAAACTTTAGACTTGTCGCGAGGGGTGAAAAGTAACTGGTGGCTGGGTTCTGCTCGCTTTTGCTTTACTCTAGCCATCCACCGTTAAACTCATCGATTGCCTTTACCCACGGAAACTTCTTGCTTGCTTGCGGAAATATTGTCGAACATTTGTACAAATAATTTTTCCTCAGTAAGGAATTTTACTAGCAAGACTTTTTTGTACATGTAAGTGAGTTTGTGCATATACTGGAATGTTTCACCTTCATTCCGTGACCAACACAAGGACCTGACTTGGGTAGCATATTGTGGAAATTTTCTCGCAAGAACATTTTCTTAACTGAGAATGTGTCTGGACCATTCGAAGATCAGAGGCCTGCAATCCTTTATCACAGTGGATTTTATCAAAATACGACATATTAGAAAGAGCAAGAAAAGCGCGGTTATTTGAAGTGGGGTTTCTAATGTGAGTCTGAGAGGGCAAGTGCTCTAGGTTTTGCAAAAAGGGGTGGTTACCCTATCTCCAATACAAGCTTGGTAATGGTTGAAAGTGATCATCCCAGGATGATCAAACATTTGGAAATCTCCGATTTCGAGAAAACTTGGTCCAAAATATTGTTTTACATATCAATCATGGAAATCCTCACCACGCCTGCTGTGTTCTTAGAACAAAAGGTGTACGGTAACTTGGAGAGGGAAGTCTTACCGACAATGTGAGAGTCTCACAGCGAGACACAACTTGGGGCGGGGTCGCAAAGTGGCGGTAGTGTGCGGTATCTCTCGCTCAACTCTGAGGTGACTCTTCAAGCACATAAAACATATGTTAGCAATTTCTAGAACCCTAATGGATTTTAGCGCTAACGTAAATCAGGTCTTGCTGTGATGGAGTCAATCAGAGGGTGTTCAATAACGGTGCATAACAATCGGTGGATCACGTATACCTCAGCAAGGGACAACCGCAACGCAAGTGACAACATCACCTCGCTCCATAGCGACAAGTAGTCATTGCCTCAACATCATACCGCTTTTAAAAGCATTTTACTTTCTTAAATGCGTTTTGCCTTTCGAGGATCATGCATACAAAAAGAGGATGAGGAAACGGAGAATCAAAAGTTGCAATGAATCCGAAGTGGCACGTGCTTGTAGCAAAAAACATCTATTATCGTTAGCGATTTCTCTACACGTAAATAAATTAAGCAAGGTTTCAAGGTTCCTTCGATGCTCGATTAGAGCAAAGATGAGGCGAGCCAGACAGATAAGATGATCATGATGAGCTAGAGAAATACGTCCCCAGATGGTACTTTTAGTGAAAATGGAATGAGACCATTTTGGATGTCATTGCACAGTCGTAGCCAACAACAGCTAATAATAAAATAGCAAATTCCCACGAAATCACTACAGATGCGAGTACAACTTGCTCACATAGTGATGATACAAGATTGAAAAAGATAGATCAAAAGTTAAACCATTGTTATGCAATCTGTGGATAGAACAAAAGCTCTCCAACCGTAAAACCATACCAGATTTGTTTGGGAAATTTTGCGAAAAATCTCAGAAGAGCTGTAAGAATGAACAAATCGTAGCTTACCTTGACAACATGATCAGGCAATTTTGTATCCACTGGGTTCAGCGCTTTTACGGGAGTATGGAACGACATCTGAATCACTTCAGTGAAAGTTTCACGGGTTGTGTGGGAAGGGAGAGGGGAAAGGGAAGAGCGATGTAGTATGTTTGAGCTCATCAACAACTAAAGGCACTACGTTATGTGTGAAATGATGTAGTTCAATACTTTATTGCCCATCTCTGAAAATGCGATGAACTAATCTCAATATACAAACGTATTATCAATTCACTTGAGAAGAAAAAGAGAAGAAAACAAAATCACATTTGCGCTCGAGGGAGCAGGTGCAAACAAACAGCAAAAGAAGAAGAAGAAACCGAAGCTGTACCACAATTACAGGGATGCATTAAATAGTGGAGAGATGCGCCAGCCGTGTGAAATGAGTTTTGCACATCCGAATGTTGAACGGGAAGACACAATAAAACAGCTCGGGAAAAAAATCGTCAAAGCTAGAAAGAAATAAGGCGGAGAAATAACACGCGGTGTAGCGGGTTCCGTGCGCAATTACACACAACCTATAGTAATCGCAACAAAAGTTAATGATTGAGGGAGAGAAGTGACACTCGTACAGAGCGCGATCTTTCGTAACCCAAGAATAATAGATGTAGATGGGAATAGCAATATTTAGGCAACATAGATAGAATACAACATGATTAATGTGAACAATGATGCTACTAAAAAAGTACACAGTGGTTGGTATAAGTATTATAGACCTAAATTTGACAATTTAGGAGATAGAATTAGAGGAGCAATCGCAAATACACGCAGTTCTCCGTATGTACAACAGATAGTCTGTCACGCACGGAGCAACAAAATCAAGTCACGTTTACATGAAAGGAAAAATGGGAGGAACCGCGACAGACATGCGAGGTTCGAAGTGAGCGTATGGACAAGAGTCGGGAAGTATAGATAGACGGAAAGCAGAGAAAAACCCAAGACGATGAAGACAGGAGGTGCCGCGCGCGACTTTCGCGACCGCTACTTCTGCGCTAACTGTCCCGCTGTCGGTTGCTTTCTTCTGCGTCTGCGGAAACAGCAGCATTTCACCTCGCCTGATTGGTCATCTTGACGATGCACATCTCCACCTCGCCCAGCAGCCACATCGTCACCAACTTCACCAGTATTCGAGTTGATCACCTGCAAGAGCATTTCAAATGAACACTGCCTAAGGTGCTGAATAAGCATGCAAGACATCAAATGTGTGACTGGCAGACCAATGAGTACATAAAAAGAGGTAGCCAGCTCACTGCATTATCCCACGCGAATTCTTATGCACTAAAAACGCGATAATTTAAGATTATGCCACGCAGATTTGGTCGCTGGCCACGAGAGCCCAAAAATGTATACATCAAGCACTTGTCAAACACTATATTAGCCAAACCAAAGCTCGCCAAAAATTGTGATACCAAACAAGAAATGCTCCAAAAAACTAAGCCCCAAGCTTGAACATCCCAAAACTGCAAAACCCAAATCAAAATTTTGCATGTTACCACAAACCACTCCACGCTGACCAGTTACGTTACAATTTGCTGTTTCTGGAATGGCCGCAAGATGACAAGCATAATGATACAAAACTTAGGCTGAAGCAATCAATGTTCCCGAAATAGAAGTAGGGATTTACAGATTTTAGCCAGAACACATTTCTCCCTGAACCCAAAAAACCCAGCACTTGTTGCTATAATTTCCTTAAAACTCGGCGGCAGCTTACACTAAAAAAACACAGAGAAAGAAAAGAAACAAAAACGTGGTATGGAGGAACCAATGTTGTATACTATCCCTTGCAACAAAAAAAAAACAAAAACAAACTAAAGATCAAAGTAACAAAGCAACAAAAAAAGGATTCACCTGTGTCGACCCAAATGGATGAGTTGAAGCGTGATTAGGCTTGAGAGCATCTGCTCGCTCTGAAATGTTAGCGTTCTGATGGTTCCAAAACATAAGTCGTAGTAACAAACCTCTCTTACTGTCCTTAGCTTCTGTAGTATGTAATGATCCAGAAGGTGTAGACTACAATGAATGATTAGGTAAAACGTGATACCTCGTGAGTACATAAACGGAGGCAAGAAATCTTACCACATTATTCAATTTGGGCGTCCAATCAAACTCATAGTCATAACTTGCTCCTAATCTATCAAGAACTGCTTTGAACAAATTATAGCAGTAATCGTAATCGGGCGTCTCAAAGAAATCAAGACGTCGCGCATAACGGAGATATTGGGCAAACTCTTCTAGAAATATATTTGTATTTTTTTAAAGAGTTCACATTGTAATGAAACATACCCGGGAATCCTTCACAAAGAACTTCCACAGCAGTTTGCCTTTTTGTATCACCAATCTTTTGATAACGTTCTTTCAATGTATCGGCCTGAAATGAGAGGGAATATTTGAAAGATTTCCTTGAAATGAACCAAAAGATAATTTTTGAACTTTGCAGGCAGATGAGACGAATACTGTTGATTTCTGCTGATATCTAGTGGCAAAAGGCTATCTACACAGCGTCTAGAAAATCACAGCTAATTTCATATAAGAACAGAATTGAACGTAGTACATTACACCACGAGTAGTTCAGTAGGACACGGCTCACTAATAATATGATTCGACATCAAGGCAGGAAAGTTTGTAAGGATACTTTGCTATTTTTTTTCAACAAAAGATAAAAAGGCTAAGGGTCCTCCAAAAACTTAAGCTAGATACACAACACATGAAAGCTAGGGTTGTTAGTGCTGAATCACTCTCAAGATTAAGAATAAGATTACTGCTATTTGCACACTTCACCACAAGCATCACAAAAAAGCTAAAAACAAGCAAAAGTCGTAACTGATGTTGCTTGCGCACCTTCAGGCCTTGCCATGGCAAGCTGCCTCTCAAAAAGTACATGAACATATGTCCGAGGGCTTCCAAGTCGTCTCTTCGAGATTGTTCCTTTCCAAGATGAGTATTGATTGACATATACCGCGCCGTACCGGTTAATGACTTGTGTTCTCGGTAAGGAATATGCTTACCTAAAATCAGACAGATATAGATACTCAGCCAAATTCATTGCGATGTGACCTGGCAATGGAAAGACGAATTCAAAATTGTCTAGAAAGTCCAATACAAAAAGATATTTTTTTTATTGCTTCCCAAAAAAACAATGAAGAAAAATGTAGCACTGACTGGAAGTAGAACCAGAAAAAAAATCACGTACCCGTATCACAGTCGATGTATTCCTTAGCAAGACCAAAATCAATTATGTGAAGAATATGTTGCTTTCTAGTTGAATATCGTCCTATTAGGAAGTTTTCCGGTTTGACATCGCGATATATGAGGTGTTTAGTATGTACGTACTCTATCCGTCGGATCTAAAATCAACAAAGAATTACGTGATTCACACAACTTATGTAATTTCCACATCATATAAAATGATTTAAAAGGGTACAATAGATTATGCTGCATATACAGTCGAAAAACGACACCACTGAGATAACATCAGACTCTGAACAGCCCGAACATACTATTTCTGAAAACTCATCAACTTATGCGCATGCAGCTGAGCTTTACCATTAGATCGTTCAAAAAACATTGCAAAAGACAAATTTTGGTGTTTTACTGAACAGATTCGCAGCTCTTATCAAACTCGCGAAAGTACACCTCAAAAGCTTGGACCAGCAAGGTAACTCAAGTTCCACCCACCACTGATTTACATTATGATGTTGTCCATTTGATAGATTAGGAGCAAGTTATGACTATGAGTTTGACTGGACGCCCAAATTAAATAATGTGGTAAGATTTTCTGCCTCTGTTTACGTATGACGAGGTATCACGTCCTACTAATGTTATCATTCATTCTAGTCTACACCTTCTGGATCGTTACATACTACAGAAGCTAAGGACAGTAAGAGAGGTTTGTTACTATGACTTATTCTACAACTACCCCAAAACAACTCCCCATAACTCTAATCCCATTTTCAAAAATACGATTGCTCTTACAATCGATTCTTCCCTTTTCCGTAGTGAGCTGCTAAAACCAATGCACAATCACCAAACCTATTTTATCGATCACTGGTTTAGGCGCTTTTAGCCAATGGAAGAACGATGAATGCAAATGAACATGGTCATTTACTGCGAATATGATGACACAAGCAATGAAGCCTGTGTAAATAACCCTTTCCCTCAAAAGTTCAAACGTATTTTTCTTCACGAGAAACTTACCTAGGAAAAACTTGAGAAACTCGCCTGCAGTGTTATCCCTACCGTCTAACATTTTTTCCAAAAGCAAAAATGCACGAGATTTGACCGTCAAAAGTACAAACACTATCAACAATTAGTTTGTTCGACCAATGATTCGTAAATTTCACAACGAATCAGTATGAATGCAAAGGAATGCTTTCATTAAGCTTATTCAATAAAAGAACCCACAAAAAATTAGCAAAAAATGTCTGATAGCTTAAGCACCAAACTGCGCAGCAATTACAGCAAATGTCCGCACAGCAGTTCAAACAACCTTTTACATACCATATGTTTTGATTTTTTCTTTTTAAACCACATACGCAGGCGGTGTGTCATAATTAGCGACAACGTGCGGAAATCGATACTGTGCGGCGCACTTGACTTGTATCGAGAGACAAACTAGAGGAAAATGAAAGATTACAAAAGAATAGACGCTACATCCTCAATTATGATTAAACATGCGGTTCCAAAAGCTTGCATATATCGATTGCGATGCCACCGCGAATAAATTTCGATCCCAAAAAATTCGTGATTGATTATTGTCTTCAAAACGTTTTCGTATGATTAGCGGTGATGGCTACAACGCATATCTTTTTTATGTGAACTTTGATAATGAGATGCAGACGCTAATTAATGCGCAGCAAGCATACAAAATATCGTTACACAAAACGAAACGAAAAAAGTCATCGAGTTTACCAGCACTCAACTGATGCTGCGGAGAAACTTTTTGAAGCTTAAAAAGTATGAATTCAGCCCTACCAATTGCATTGCCACCATAGCTACTGTTTTGAGCGAAAAATGGCGATCGCAGAGATCGAACAGATCCTCTAAAGAGTGTCCGAGTAATTCCATGACCAATGCGTTATACTTTCCACATGGTCCAAAATAGTGAACTTGAGGAAGTCCCTCTGCAAATTTCATAAATGAAGATGCAAAAATCAATCAAATTCAAGAGAAAAGTCAGAAAGCTGGCAAAAGTACAAATTAGGAATAGCACTTACCGGACTGCCCTAGTAGCTTGTAAAATCTATATTCCAAATGAAGTTGTGGAGCTTTACTCTTCATTGGCTCCAGTTTGATAGCTACATGTTCGTTGTTGTAGAGATTTTTTCCAAGGCGCAGTTCACCAAAATTTCCGCACCCAATCTTCTTCCCCACCTTAAATCGTAAGTAATCATGCAAACGGACATAGATGAAGGGTAACTGAATTCTCTCAAATACCGATTAAAAAAAACGAAGAAAGAAGTGGAATGACGGTGAGAAAACGTGAACTGACAGACCTTGAAATTGGGGCCAACCATAAGCACTCCTTGCGAGTTCGTTGTACTCGCCGAAGCGGACGCCGATCCAGGAGCCCGATTCGTCATCGCAGCGGGAGCCCAGTGTGAAAGGCCAGAAAGAAGTGCCTGACGTGGCCGAACTCCACTGCTAGTAGCTCGTCTAAATTACGACAGATCAGTGATGCGCAATTTGAGCAATAACTATTCGACTGGACTATACAGTTCACGAAAACATAGCGGCAAGAAGTGACCGACTATGCACCACGAATCTCTTTCAACCGTCAAAGAACTAATGCCTATTTTTTAACACCGCGCCGCGTAATAAATTATGAATAAAGTGTTTCGTCTATGTCGAAAAAAGAGACAACAACAGTAATTTAATGGAAATTCAAGTGTAACAGTCAGCCATTCCTTGCTCAAAGATCTACCTTCATCAGATAGCACCTTTTTACAATTAAAACGCACATACATCACGAGCATATAACATAAGCAGACATGCAGGCAGGAAAAAGTCAAAATGCAACATCACCAGCTCAGACACATCAGCTTTACCGAGTTTGATTAAGAATATTTCAATCACGAATGACGATAATTCATAAGTTTCAAAGAGTACATGCGCTGAGCACTCAAACATTGAACCGAATTCATCACTGCTTGGAAATACAGAACGCCTAATTCAAAGGGTGACAGAATCTGTGCAATTTTTAAATGCATTTATGAAAAGGTCACATCCGACTGGCGGCGTTAAAGCTAACTTTGAAAAAGTCTAGCCCGGAAAGAAACATCCTGCAATCTGACGATGTAAAATTACTACAGTAACCTAACGCTGACAATTCCTGATGCAAGGCTATTGTCAAGGCAGTAGTTTTATGACAATCTCACCAATGTAAATTGGCAAAATACATTCTCAGATACCGAGATAAAAGAATCCAACATTTGGAGGGACTATATTTGCTTATGCGAATTGTCATATTTGAAGAATTTTGAAACCTCGCAAGCGAGGTAATGGACATGCACAGGCAAAAGACAAAAGGCAGCACGACTCTCGATCATTTGAATATTCGCGACGGCAAAGCTCACAACTTCGCGCGACGACAAAGCGGCTACCATTTGCGACGGCTACCACGAAGTACCTATCGCGATCAGACGTATCTCGAGCACTATCGCGTTTTTCCATACGAAGAAGCAACATTGCAAGACGCTTCAGAACCTTTCTCTACCGTAACATCCTCCTATAACACGAGCAAAGTGCTTTGCATGACATCTCTGCAAAAAGTTATCGAAGACACAACCGCAATGCCAGCCAAACAAACATGTGGGTAAGTGGTGAGTGGTGTGTAGGTTAGGTGAACATGAGACAACGTTGGATGGCACGGAAAGTGTGAAAGAAATGGTGGAAAGTAACAAAGCACATGACAGAGAGAAAAATTCATGCTGAGGTATGCAGAGATGTGATGCATTCATATATTTAATACCTTCTAGTGCAGGATAAGTAGTCAGTATGCCAGGAAGAAACCCGCAAACTGAGATCTCGATCTTTCTGAAACTGAAAATCAATGTGGAAACGCGACTTCTAACCACAATCGATGAAGCGGAACGATAAGGTCGTGAAATCGATGATGCTCATGAAACAGTGGCACGAATATGACTAACAGACCGACTGGCATTTATTCTATGTATGTCGAGAGAAAGAAAAACGCCTTTTGCGTGATAATTAGAGATGCTCATATTCCTGCATATATGACTCATTGCTAGAGAAATGCGTCCAAACAAACTTAGAAACATGCTAAAAACTGGGAACCACAGCTCAAATGCCACAAAATTTTAGCGAATAAGTCAATGGACAAGAAACGGAGCTTATGTAAGTTCCGCAGTCAGAAAGAAAGATACAGAAACAATACCGATTTCGTAACACAGCTAATCATTAACAGTATATGCCTTAGTGATGACTACATAATTCTTAAGAGATTGTGCTGATGTATGTTCTCTCCGTAAACATAATATCTGTTACGAGTGATCAGACAAAAAATCAACCACGTGCTTAAAGAGGGTCACGCAAAGCAGGGCAAATAGATCTGGAAGGAAAACAGCAGATAAGTTGAATCATATGACTGTCAGTTTTTTGAAGATTTTCTTGTTACGTAGTCCATCAAATCAACTTGTCAATAACTTACATTTTAACTTTGTTTTTCAAATTTTGTTTGAATTTTCGAAAACACACGGTCCAACAAAGAGCTTCAGAATTAGATTACCTTGCTTCATTCAATGGTACAAATCGAGATACAGGTATGGTAGCCATACAAGAGAAAAGGTGATCGCTGCCAGGAAGAAATGTATACAGTCTGTGTCAACGATGTGCTCTCTTTCTGATCATCTCGAGCGCAACGCTACAGCTCTGTGCTGCGTTCACGAGCTTATCCCTGAGCTTTCAAATCTGCCGAATCAATCGGAGATCATTACGCAATGCCCATGCGCTGCGAATACGTAGTTGCCGAGAAAATAGGAGTGGTTGACACAGATTGTATTAACCAAATCTTAGCATGCTGATTCAACACTGTCATTTATGTGAAGCAATTCTTTTAGAAAATTGTGACAATTCTGCCAAGCACGATATAACTGTTGCTGAGATGAAATCACTCTAATTCTTCTTCTTTTGTACACCAAATTCGAAGAAATGAGTCATAGTGCTTTAGTTTCTACCTTGATGATAAGAGCTACATAAAACGTACAACCTCTCAGAAAAAAAAGCATATAAGCTCCTTCTCGAAATCTTATCGCAGACGATAAGCATAAATTTAGGAAATCATCTAAAGTGAGCTATTAAAACTGCATTTTATGCTATACGTTCATCCAACGCACACCTATCCTTCCCTCATCAGCTTCAAGTCTTGTTACGGGAAAAAAGTCTGTACAAGCCCTCCATAGCTGGCATACTATATATTTCTCTGAACCAAAACAACTTACAAACGCCAAATCACATCGTTCGATTCAAAGAAGAACTCATAAGGTGTAGATCGCCGAGGCGGTCGGGCAGGAGGCAGCAAAGGCTCGCCGCTTCTGCTTATGGAAGTACCTGGGGAACTTCAGACTTTCTCGCGCCTCTAATTACTTCTTCGCACTTCTAATTACTCTACATGATCTATGCCAAATTGATCGTTGATTTCTCAAAGCGTGACAAGTTTTGAGATAGCTTTTATGTTTTAAATTCATAGCAAATAAGATAACAAGTTCAAAAAGGACCCATAGATAGCCATTCAACGGTAAATGATTCAAAAGTAAGAATTGGCCTATTCAATCTTCAAGCAGAATCGCACATGTAAATCTTTCTCAGTTATTCCGATCGAAGACAAGGACTTTGAAGACTAATTGCACTCGTGCTTTATTCTGCAGCAGAATCACATCCTTCTGTTACGAATTCTTGCGTACAATGCCCTGAACCCAATATTTAAAGAGGCTGAAAACGATTACAGCTGAGATTGAAAAATTTGCAAGATTCTCAAATTGATCCAGGGTGCGATACTCTTCAAAAAAGTTTTCGTTTAATCCCCCATTGTAAAGTAATCAGAGGTGCGAAAAGTGATTAGAGGCGCGAGGAATCTGGAGCTCCCCAGGCACTTCCAGAAGCAAATGCGGTAAGCCTTTGCTGCCTCCTGCATGACGTCCGATCGCCGAAACGTCGACGTCAGCCAACAAAAAGTTATCGTACCAATCTTGGTTAAGCTCAGCTCTCACCGAAAAGAACTTATAAGTTCAAATGAGCAAAGTTCGTGATATGCGATGTTGCTGATAAGTATCTAATCTGAAGAAATCTGTGGGCAACTATTGGTGTGCAAATGCTATCAAGTTAACTGAACATGAGACTCTCACACTCGGCCTGCAGTGTGAGACACAGGAAATCGACAGCGTCGCGAGATTAATCGCGGTGAATGGAAAAAAGACAGAAAATGAGTAAGCAAATGCGAATCGATTGCAATCGATAACGATAAAAGGCAGCGAATGAAGTTAGCACTGTAAAAAGCGACAACACGTCAATGGTTGGGATTGAGATATGAACGTGGATAAAAAGTTGTGGTGTACTTATACTGAGATAAAAATCAATTGCTCCAATTCGAGAGCACTTTTGGTATAAGAGGAAGGGAGGAACAACGAAAAGAAAAAGGGAAACACAATATAATGAGCGACTGGAACAATGCAAAACTTCAAAACGAACTATCCCACCGTCTGTTCAGCCCTTTTTTGGCGGCGCTTCGCACTCCTCGCCAATCAATTGTGAGCGGAACCCGTCAGAATGTCAAAATCATGCAATGACCACCACAACTGCTCCAACACTTGCCCGGAGAACAACGATCGAGACTGCCGTCGCTGGCAAAACGAAGGCAGGCATCGAGCGCACGCCGCGCAACGCGCTCGCCGCACTCGCTTCCACTCGCGACCCAACTCGCGATCGTTTCGACGTCATTTTTCGGCGTTCAAAATGGTGACGCTTCGGAGTTTTACGTCAGTTGTGTTGAGGTTTGAGTAGATTCTTTGCTTCTGTTCATTGTAAGCACATTTCCATACCGAGGTTGTATATTGCGAAGAGTTTGACGATCGATACTTATGGGTTGGCTTTAGCATGGATGCGGAACTTGCTACATAAAAATTGTTAGCGAGATGGCGTATAGATTGTTAAAGCCAAAAAATGATGACTCGTGGATCTTTCTGATCATAAAATCCTTCTTATTGATTCGGTCATTGCATAACTGTAACCATAAAAATATCTGTTTTAGGAGGGAAGGATTTTTCCCTGATCATTTTTATTTTTTGTTATTTATCGTTTTCTTATTGAGGATCTTGGAGACTCTATCCAAAACAAAACATAACACCTTGAATCAAAATTTCGAAAGCATGATTGCTAGTAAACATCGAGAAACACGAAATTGTCATAGATGAAAAGAGTAGGTCTAAAACCACAATCAAAAATAGAAAATCGTTTTTTCTGAGACTACTATCTTGACAACGCTTTGTCACAGTGTCTTTACAAGTTGAAACTTGTTTCTGCCAGGATTTAGGTAGTAAATCATCCCGGGTAAGACAGATTTTAAGTGCAAACTTGTTGAGAACATGGCAAAGCGTGTTTGAACAATGTATGCAAAGCGTACTCAAGTTCCCTCGACTCAGAGTGGATGACAGATTTTTTTTGAATTTAAGCTTTGAAGTAGACAAAAAAGTATGATCGGCTCCTAGATTCGTGTGGAGGCGGATTGCGGACGTGCCTAATTTTAAGGGTAAGCTTAACGAGAGAGAGCGAAATACAATGCTATAACGTGGATATATAACAAGTTTATCCTGAAAATCAGGAAGTCCGCAACCTGCCCTCCACATGTAGCTGATGTTAAGATTTGAGGGTTTCCAGATGAGAGAATCTTTCTCTTCATATTTTCATTGCAGTGACAAGCCACCATCATTTTTTTGCACACTAGCAGTCTGTTTTCTTCTGTAAATTGTTAAATTGACTGAACTTGTTGAAATAAGAAGGCTCTATTTTTTTTTAATTTTCTGGCGCGAACTTACCAGCCTACCACCAATATTTTTTGCAGTGATAAATAGAGATTCACAGTAAGTAGCCAACTTTGGACTCATAAGTAGGATATTCCCCGTTTTTTCTGAAGCTCGAGTCTAATCAGGTCTTTCCTGAACTTCTGACTACAACATGTCATGTGAATCGCTTGTACTTCCGCGTTTCTAATTAGTATGGTAAATATGAACTTTCAGTTTGCCTTGGAGTTTAGAGGCAGGATAGCATGAAGAGAAAACAAATCATCCCTCCTCCACCCTTCTCCCTCTCTGTCGCAAAAAATTGGATCCGAGCGTCATATAAAGTTTTTTTTTTGAATGCGGACAAAACCTTTTTGATTTCTCTTTTTGCTTTGAGGAAAAGAAGAGGTAGTATGCATTTAGAGAAGGCTGTGAGCATTTGATTTCTGGAAAACTCAAGACAATTCACTAAGCCAAGGAATCTTGGCGGAATCATGTTCTTTTCTTTTCTCCCGCGAACGTCGATGTCGACAACTTGAAATTTGATAGGCCGCAAGCTTTTATGAGCCTACAATGGCTGTAATATGGGAAGGAAGCTGCTAATAACTCAGAAAGTTCTAGAATGGAGGTTAGAAAGAAATCCATGTTCTAGGCTGCGCTACAACAATCAGTGCCGAACCGTTTATTTTCTGGTTTTAGTGAATTAATCTGTAGAAGAAGTGATGTGTGAAGTATATGTAATGATATATTCCGATTAGTCTGACATCTATGGGGATTTTATAATGACTCATGCATAGCAAGTGATAAAACTACCAAAAAACTTCTAGAAGGCACTCTTACTTTCAACATAGCATCAGATAACAAGCAATGATTCAGAATTGTGCTAGCTCTTAAACTCGAAGGGAGAATTTGCGAAAATCAAATGTCAAACATAATTCGAGTTTTTCCAACAAATTTGTGATTTTCATACTTGGAAAGAAATTGATAAAAATCTAAATCTGTTAGCAGAATTTGAGGTGAAATGTATGG